GAATTCGAGTCAACCAGCCATTTCTGGGATTCGAACCATGTTCACCTCATTAGGAGGCGAGAGCACTATCCCGTAAGCCACCATGACTCAAAATAAACTATAGACTATTCAATTTTCACAAATATTACATCAGTGAAGATTTCTAACTTATAGCCCTAATAAAAAAGTTGTTTATTGCGCATTCTGTAACATTTAATTATTTTTTATTCGCTATGCCCGATTATCTGAATGAGTGATTAATGTGATTGTGGTACTATAGGCAGACTGCGTGACCAAATTAGTATTCCTAATGTTATATGAAACCGCATGTTTGTTTTGTTTATAGTTACGTTTTTAAAACGTCGTACTATAAAACTAAATAATTTAAAATCAACAGTAATTGAAATGAAAACAAAGTTTTGTATTGAGAAGCAAAATTAGTGGGGAAATGGTGTTAAATCGTTGAGGAAAAATGCAATAAAAATGCCAATACTATTACTGACGCCAATCATAAATAATTTTGGTAATAGTCTCTAATTTAAGTAAAAAGACAAAAAAATTCTGTACTTTAAAAAGCAAAATTAATGGAGAAATAGTACTAATTCGTGTAAAAGAGCGTAAAAAATCGTCTTACTATTTTTTGACGTCAATGAATTTAATAATACACTACTGGCATTATGGTAATTAGTACAGTTTTAATAGAAACCAACTGTACTCTCATATAGGGAAGAAATATTTTATTAGTAAATTTGGTGCCTATTAAAGCTGCAAATATAATGTGCGTTTTTGTGATAAATCAGGGGTTTCCAACTTACATGAGGCCGGGGGTCGCAATTAAGAACACTAATCAAATGGCGGACCGATCCTTTATCAAAATTTTATACAGGACTCTTTTTACGTTTGAAGGAACATTAAATATTACTGTCAGATTTTTATCAAGTTGTACAAAACAAAATTATTGAATTTCAAATTAAAATAAGAAGAAGATTTTTACCTGAGAAATAAATTTTTTTGCACCGTTGGTGTGTTAAATTTCACTGAAAAGAAGAAATTAAGTTTTTTTAAATGAAGAAAAGTACTTTTAAGCCATAAAGATTTTTTACGAAAATTGTCCGCAAAAAAATGACAACTAATATATTTTAGTTCGCGGGCACACAAAAAAAGGCTTCGCGGGCGGCTAGTTGATAACCACTGTGATACTACAGAAGTCGGTTTTTTTACGGCCCTTTGACGATATAAATATCGAAGAAATTTGCTTTATTGATGTAAATTTTAAATATCAAGAGATGCCACGAGTAACATCATTATACCAGTTGATATTGAATAAAATTAATATTTAGTTTGATGGGATGAACTTCATCTAATAACGTAAAGTCTCCAGGAAGGGCAATAAATAATAATGAATAAATCAAACAGTAAAAATATTTTAGCTTTATTATTTGAGTCGGCAATTGTCCTTAAGTTTTGTGCATGATTTTAGTGTGTTGTTCATTACTGATTTATTGATTCTTTTTTTTTTTTTTATAGGTACTACTCTCTTAGTAAATAAATAAAACTTGAATGACTAGCGTTTTTGTAATCATTAAAAAAATATTTCATAAAATTTTTTATAATTCTCGCAATAGAACATTTGAGGCAACATTTTCTCTCAAAATTAAGGCAAATATACAATTATATCAAAACTTATTCATTCAATTGATGTCAATGATATCATTTTTATATTCAAGAGGATTGACCGGGAAAAACAGACGCTAGAAATATAACTAACTAATTTAGAACTCACGATTGAGACCGTTCTTATATGCACTGAATCTATAATTAATAATCAGGGTTCCCGATACTCTCTTATTCAGAATTTAAATTCGATGTTTAATTGTCAACCATAAACCACATTCACCTATGCGAGGTGAAGACAGCCGCGGGCGATCAGTGAAAGCATTAAGACCGATATAATCGTTGACATATTGACAAAAATAATCATTTATGAGGAAGTTAATTACCATATCGAATAGTTATTGTATGTCATATCTATCGAACATGATTTATTTTTTGTAAAACGTGTATCAGAAACGAAATCTTGTTAATGAGGAAGGCATCGTGCATATTGCCGTTACAGAGATTAGAAAAATACAAAATTCCAAGGCGTGCAACTTTAATAGTTATGTATAAACATATTTTTACAAAAGTTTTTGAAAGAAAAATATTGAGAAAGGAATAAATAAGAAGTTGCCACTTAAATAAAAAATGTAGTGTTGGTGGTGGAAAATAAATTAAAATTATACATCCTATTTAATAGAGTTGGGAGACTTCAGTTGCTTGAGATCATTAATAAACAAGTAATGATTTTTCTTCTTCTTTTTTGCAAAAACAGGTTTTGGATGAAAAAACGAATCATATTTTCCAAAATATCTAACCCTTACATATTTAGGAAGAAAAAAAACAAAAAAAAAAGCTATGTAGACATTCTTTTCGAGATGTAATGCGAAACTGTTAATCAGTATCATAATCCTGAAATTTTTATCCGCATTTCAATCTTGAAGTTTAATAGTTATGCAATTTTTTTCTAATTTTATGCATCACGGGACTCTTTTGAAACAGGCTTAATATTTTCCAAAAATGCTTGTATATTTATGTAGAACTAATTAGGTTTGGGATGAAAAAAACCAACCATATTTTCCAAAATATCTAACCCATACATATTTAGAAAAAAAAAATGCTAAGAAGACATTCTTTTTCAAGACATAACGCGAAACTGTTATTCAGTATTATAATCATGAGATTTTTATCTGTATTTTAATCTTGAAGTTAATAGTTATGCTATTTTTTTTCCTAATTTCATGTATCGCGGGACTTATTTGAAACAGGTTTAATATTTTCCAAAAATGCTCGTACATTTATCTAGAACTAATTAGGTTTTGGATAAAAAAAAAAAACGAACCATATTTTCCAAAATATCTAACCCATACATATTTAGGAAAGGAAAAAAAAAAAAAAAAAAACCAGAAAAAATGCTATGTAGACATTCTTTTTCGAGATGTAATGCGAAACTGTTATTCAATATCATAATCCTGAGATTTTTATCCGCATTATAATCTTAAAGTTTAATAGTTATGCTATTTTTTTTTCTAATTTTATGTATCGCGGGACTCATTTGAAGCAGGCTTAATATTTTCCAAAAATACTTTATATTAATCTAGAACTAATTATAAATCATTTTTTCATAAATTTTAGCTCCATAATTTAGTTGAGTGACACCATTTATAAAATATGTTTTGAGATATCAGATAAAATTGTATATATAGCTGTTCTGGTTATAGTTATACAAAGGACATCTATATAACTCGCAATTGTTATGTCTATGCCAAATATCGAATTTTGTTGACAAAATTTTTCACTTATAATTATATATATATATAATTATAAATAATTTACTTATATTTGTAATTATAGATTAACTATTTGATATTATTAAATGAGAGACCACTTGGAATTTGCATAGCGGTATTAATTTGCAACCGGTTTCATGCGAATGAATGAGCTTAATAATTTCCAAAAATATCAATGAATGCATAGAAATATTAATAAAAAAATATCCTAAAAAAATTATATAAAATTACAGGAATACGCGAGAATATGTGGCGTTAATATCGTGTTTTATAAAATATGCCTTAAGTCATGTTATTTGAAAATGCTCACTATAACCACTTTTGATGTCTTAAATGTTTCGGAATTGTTTTATGCCAAGTTTCCTTTATTTTTTTAATGAACGCTGGTTATTTGATATTATCAGGTTGGAAACTTTTCTTTTTAATGTTTATGATTGAGGGATTTATTAAAACTGGTTTCTTATATACATAAATGATTATCATACTATTAAAAATTACTTATATCTGTCAAGAAATCTATATAGAACAATTGAAAAAAATTTTCATTTATCCCCAAACTGCAAAATTGATAGTTAGCATGGTGCGCCATATTAAAAATATATTTTGAGTCAGGCTGATAATTCAGTATTTTTATAGTTTTAGTACCAAAATTTAGTTAAATTTGTTAATGTGCTCTAAATAATCCCCTGGCTGACAATTTAAAAAGTTTTTATAATTCTTTGCTTTGCAGTTTTTATTTGAAACATGTTTTGCATGAAAGACTAGATGTCAGCATTTCCGTAAATATCCATATATGTTTAGAAATAATTATAAAATATTTTTGAAAAATTTCTCCATAATTACTTCAAATTGTAGTTCATAATATGTAGTAAACTGTGTGAAATAGATTTTAAAACACTATAAATTCAGAAACATTTTACTTTTTCTATATTTTCTAATACTTAAAAGCTGTCTACAAGCAAAATTTTTCTCAAAAAATAAATAAATTCTATTAAAAAGATTTAGAATCTTTTAAAAAAAGTTTTAACATTTTCTAACGATATTTTATTCATAGATAATACATATTTTTTGAATAATTCCCCCACTATCAAAACTGTATTAACATGAAATAATATTTATGAAATAGATATTAAAATAGACTTTAATTTTAAAAAAAAATTCTTTGTTCTATATTTGCAGATAATCCATAATCTTTAGAAAATATAAGGTATATTTAAAAGGCGTCTACAAGTAATTTAAAATAAATAAATAAATTCACTTAAAAAAATTTAGACTCTTCTAAAACCGGTCTTTTTTCCTAAATAAATTAGACTCATAAGAATTTACACTATATAATTAACACAAATATTTAACTATTAAAGGAAAAATAATAACCAAACATATATTTATTTTGCATTATAATTTACGCAGGTAAACAGAAACAAGGAATTGTTAAACAAAAAACAAAATTTTAATTACTCACAGATTTTATTTATTTAGCAATTAAGTCAGAATCTTTCCATTTTACAGATTTTTATTCTAGAAATTCTGAATTATTTGAAGGATAAAATTTTAGTGATTGAATTTGGATGAATAAAATTTGGTTGAAAATGAATCTACACAGAAACAGGGAATAAATTTAAATAAGAAGCAAAATTTTTACCACACACAGATTTAATTTATTTAACAATTAAGTCAGAATCTTTCCATTTTACAGATTTGTATTCTGGAAATTCTGAATTATTTGAAGGATTAAATTTGGATGAAACAAATTCTTCTTCTGAATCAGAAGATGAGCAAAATGCAAGAAAATCTTTTTGAGCCTCAAGTTTTGCTTTTGATTTCTTCACTTTTGGAGAATGCTTTTTGTGGCATACAAAAATTTCTTCTTCTATGGGTACAGTTTTTGAAGAAATATCTTCAAAGTCATTAGTATTCACATGGGATTCACAACCAGAAACGATTTCCTGAATTTTTGGAATTTTAATTTCTTTTAAATTTTCTTCAAGTTGTGGATGAAGATGCATACTATCCTTCTGAAAGAATTGTAAAGTGACATAAGAATTGTATATAAAAAAAAATTTAAAAAAAAAATTATAATAGGCAGGACAACTTTTGATAACCAAGAGTTAGATTAGAACAAAAATGTGAAGTCTTATAAAAGAGGCATATGTCCGTATTCAATAATTTTGAAATGGTGTTGGTTCATTTTTTATTTGACATTTATTTTTATATCCTAAGAAAAATGTCTATGACCTTTATATGCATTTTATTTTTGTTGAAACCATTTTCTGTATAGTTTTATAGCCTTCAGCAAAAGTAACCTTGATTTACACATAATTCATTACACAGGATTTCATTAAAATGTTATTTAACAGCATAATTTTTTATTTTATTGTTAAAATCAATAAAAGATAACAATGTTCTCTTTTTTTCCTAAATTTAAAAAAATAAAAATAAAATCCACAGTGCAGTCCAATCAGCTGGATTTCTGATTGGACTGCATTTTCTCCTATCATGTCTTAATCAGCCTCATATTTTAGAGCAAAAAAAAAGAAAAGAAGAAATCGAAGAGCAGTTGCAGATTATGGCGTGGTGATCAGGTGATTACTACCAATATCTGCTTTCTAGATCCAAATTGTGGAAATGTTGAGCCAATATTGTCTCCAGATCATCATTAAGGACGATTTTCAATCCATTGACGATAGCCCGTTAATGTAGCTTTAGTACAATGTTAACAACCAAACCAAAATGAACTTAATGCTTCATAAAAAGGAGTAAGAGAATGAATTCATTACATTCGTGCTTATTAAAATAGTGCTTTCCAATCGCCACATAAAAAAAACACCATTAAATTGGAATATATTGAAACTTAGAGTAATTTAAACATTGTCATGTGTGGCGTAGCTGCTGAAGCGATCATTATTTCTTGTAAAGCGAACTGAAGTGGCCCCGTTCTTCGCAGTATAAATGTTGTGACGAGAATTTGTTATTTGCCTTACTGCCCCACCATGCCTGATGCATCCTTCATGATGCTTTTCTCTACTTTTTATTTTTTACAGGTTCTACTGAACCAACACTACAACTTTTCTACGCATGTCCCCTTCTGGGATAACACAAGATGAATGGAGAAAGGGCCGTTATGGCCTCAGATGCACAGTTCTTAAGCAAAGAAGAAGAAGATACTTGCTTTTTTTATGTAGTCTTCTTCAAACAGCTGCATATAACGAGATCATGCTGGGCATGTGGAATCTGTTTTGTTAGGCTTAAATAAGTGTTTTCTTTAGATGTTTACACGTGTCTTATTTCCCGAACACAGGATAATTCCAAAATTTGTGTCTAGATGAAACTAGATCATGATTAAACAATAAAATTGTAAAAGTAATAATATAAATTAAATAAAAATTAAATAAAATATATAAATAAATGCTGTAAGAAAAAGTATAATTCTAGGGTTGAATAGTTAATAGATATTAATTTCAATAATTGTGAATAAGCTAAAAAAATTTTTCAATTTAAAAACAGACTATTGATTATTTTTTTTAAAAAATGTCCGACTTTTTGATAATTAAATAAAAATAGCTTTAAGTTATTCATTATTTATTCTTACCTTGATTCCATAAGTGACTGAAACTGGAATTTTTGAGTTAAGAATATTTCTATCATCTGCCTCAAGTGTAAAAAAAGGAACAGCAGTTTCTTTACACCAGAAAGAAACAGCTCGGAAAATCGGTGCACATGCATTATTAGAACATACGAAAACAGCAGATAGTTGTTTCTTTTTCAGATTCCTCAAAACAGCATTGGTTCCAACAAGGAGTCCATTTGCTTTAGTTAATGTCCTTGAATGTTATAAAAAAATATTGTAAATGTTTTGATGTAAAAGAAAAAGAAGAGAAAGATACAGAGTGAAGGTCTTATTTTAAACTTTTGGACACGGCTGATACAACAATTGTACCCTATGATCTCAGTTTCTGAGATTTTTCATTCTGAAACATTTTTCCTTCGAAAATGGATTTTACCATAAAAAGTACAACCCTGAGTGCCGGTGCTATTTACTGTAATTTTATCCTGAATGTTTTACAGCATATCGACCCTATTCAGAAGGTTAAACAGGAAGTTTGTTCACAATTTGCATTGTTACTAACAGAGAAGGTAGAAGATTTTTAAGTACTTTAACCCTTCGCTTAGGGAGCTTAGCATGGTGAACCCTGTCATTTTGGTCCAGTTGTTGTAGCAACCATATGCAAAACGTTTGGCAAAACAATAATATTACAACTCATAAATTAAACTTAGCAAAATAATTTATATTATTAAATTAAATATGAATTTTTTTAATTGTAGAATAACATGCTGTATTGGGAAACCTATAACAATAAATTCTCACACATTTAAAAATGTATATGAGATTAGTGAAGATTATTTAAAAGTTCTAAAATAGTAAGTAATAGAACAGAAGGCAACTCTTTAATCTTAAATACCAATATACTTTTCATAAAATTATTTTAAATTTATGAATATAATGAAAATTAATTTTATAAACTGATCCCTTAGAATGAAAAATCAAAATCTGATTTGAATGACCTAAAGTATCTAATCTTGTTAAACAAAGTTATGTTAATAAAAGACAGTTAAAGTTACCTTGTTTGGACTAATGTCAAGTAAATTTTAGTAGAAGGATTTCTTTGAAACTTGTATAGTACATTATATATGAAACATGGGAAAAAGAAATCTTCAATAAAAATAGTTCCAATTTTTTCTTCTAGGTGGGGATAGTAAAAAACACGGAAAGATGATATAAAATAATTTAAAAGAAAGATTGTTGTCAGTTAAAGTTGTTACAACAGAATGGTCAATTTTACCACAAGAATATCAACATCTAGAAGGCTTAGAAAAATAACCCATGTCTAGGCAAGTTTTGAAAAAGATGATCATTAAACTTGAAGAGACTAAAGAATTATTAGTAAGAGATGGGAGATGATTTCCAGATATAATTAGTAAGCATAAGATGTTATGTTACAATAATAGAAGAAATAAATACTGTGTCTTCATGCTATAACTTCTTTTAAACATGTTATAACAAATGCTTCACAAAAATAGGAAGCATATTTAAAATATGCTATGATTAAATGGTGGAAGTTTTTAATTTTTTTTTTCCTTTTGTTCTTTGTGCACGATTTTTCCCCATATACTAGTTTTTTACCTGCTGTTTTTTTACTAATGAAATTTAACTGATATTTTATTATTTTATATATAGATGTAGATTCGTAACCAGATAACATTCATAAACCAGAATTAACTATGCTGGTCGAAACAGGGTTACTTTAATTTTAACCACCCTGTATAATAAAGTTGAGTTTATGATCTCAACAAATGTTAAAATTGTCTGTAGTAGAATTCATCTGTTCTTTCTAAAAATAAGGTAATAAAAATCCAGTTTTGCCATACTGATGATTTTATATAGGGAAAACTGGAATTAGTTGGTCCACTTTTCAGCTTCTATTTTTTAAATTTGCTAAAAAATTAATCAGATCATATGATTTTTTTCAAAATGCTCAGTAGGTTTTTTTTAAATAGTTTTTTCACAATACTTTGAAGAGTGACAAAGTACTAGAGTTCAAAAAATTACTTAGCACTGCTAAAATATAGCTTCTTGAAATAAAAATGACGCACTTTAACTGCAGCATGTGATTATTTCATAGGATATGAAGTATTAGTAATGCAACATGTTAATGGAAAAAACAAACAGGAAAAATAATGGAAAATAATTAAGCTTGGTCCAATGTGCATTTAGGTTCAACCTACCTAATTCAACCTACAGTCTTCCCTTATCAATATATCTTTAACAATATATTAATATTTCTTTAACAATAGCTATATAAATTAAAAGAAATGTAAAGTTATGGCAGTAATTAAAGTCATAACTTAAGTAGTTCATAAACACTAAAATTAATAAAAGTTTTACTGTACGGATTCTATAAAAACAAGAAAAATTTTAACTAATGATGAATAAATAATTATCAATAAGAGCAAGCAATGTTATATTATTCAGAATACTTACTGTAGATTTTCTATCAAACTTCTTCTCTTGGTTACCAAATTTTCAGATTTATTTCTAAGGAAATGAATAAATATCAGTTCCAAAAGTTTTATAATAATTTTAATTTAAATAATAAAATTAATATCATGCTTTTATAAGTAGCTTATTTGAACTTCATAATATCAACAGAAATATTTTATAAAGAAAACAACCTCCAATTTCATTTACTAAATCAAACAAAAAAATATTATGTTTGATACTTAAATTGATAAAAGAAAAAAAAAAAGATTTAATACATGCTTACATCTTGATTAACACTTACCTACATAACAAAATTTCTCAATAACAATTAGCAGAAAACTAATTTTTATCTCTGCTGATTGGTATAATTAATGACATCAGTGGAAAAGTATCATTGCGAAATTAGATTTATTAAAAATATTACCTATTTTAAATAATAAATAATATATAATGTAACAATATATATTATTTTAAACAATATTTAGTAAAACACTTTTAGATTTAAAATAAATTTTATTTTTATTTATAAACTGTCAGCCTGTTGGCCACTAAGACATTAGGCTACGCTCTCCACAAGACAATTAAAGAGAAATAATGAAGAGCATTCATAACAGTGAGATAATATAAATTCCTTGACTAATTGAATTGTATAAAGAAAGTCACAGTGTTAGAAAGGAAAAAAAATGAGGCTCCTGGGTTACTATTTCAGATTAGTTTTCACACCAAAACCTATAACATCATTCCTAATGTTGCATTCATCTGTCACATACTTAATTGTTCTCAAAATTATTGTTTTTCATACTTTTTGAAGAATTCGAATAATTTTAAAGAAAAATAAAATAATTTCACAAAGAGGCCATTTATTGTATTATATTATCACACATTATATTTGGCTGTTTATAAATTTCCAGAGTTAGCAATACTCTCAAAAAAGGTAGCAACTCATTTATTTTATTTATAGATTGTTCAAACTTTTTTTTAGTTTACCTTAAGTCACATGATCTGATTACATACATAAAACTTAAAAAAATCTTACAAATCTTGATACTGGGTTAAAAGTTAAATTCCAATAAAAATAATATAAGTTTACTGGAACACCAAGCATTCACTATTTGCCTCTTAAAGACTATATTGGTTGAGGGATACGCCGGGAGTGTTCTAAATTTTTCGTTTCAGTTTTAGGAAATTGTTGCTCTTCACACTTGGTTAACCATACATGCTTTTTGGTAAAATAATTTTAAATTATGCTCAGAAATACAATTCCAGATTATAAGATATTTTCAGATTTTGAATATTCTCCAGCAACAGTTTGATAATTTTTTTGCATTTCTACCATAAAAACTCGATTCTCGAGGATTAAGTCAAAATTTTAACAATCTGTAAAATCTATACTTAACACTCATTTTTTTTTTAACATAATATGTTTACAAAAATGATACTAAAATATTTTATACTTCGTTTGTATCCCGTATATTTTACCCAACTATCTTTACTGAAGACAACACTTAAAATTTTAAAGCATTTTTATTTTACCCAGTCTTGCTACGACACCCCAAAAATAACACATTAACCAAATGATGAATGCCGCAGTGCATTTGGCAAAAATGAAAAACATAAATAATGACAGTTATATAAAAATATGCTTACTGAAGATCATGACCACGCTTTCTTTTATTTCTACCCATTATTCAACTAAATATTTTATTGGTGAATCAGATAGATTAGAAATGGAAAGTATTAATAAATGAAACTACGTTTTCAACTTTACAATAACTTTTCAAAATATCTATACTCAGATTTAAAATGTATTATCTAAATAAAATAAATATCAGCGAAATTTCAGACTAAAAAATGAAGTTTTGTAGTTCTTAAAATAACTAAAACTATCAGAATTGATAGATGTGACCGGAGAAACTGATAGAACCTCCATGCAAACAGTCTCGGCTACTTCCTCATGTTGCTGCTGATGTTTACAAACAAAGTAAAAGTATTGCCAATAAAAAAAAAAGTTTATTAGAACGACGAGAAAGTGGCTTGTACTTAGCTAAATTTTAATCCTTCATCTGTCACTCGATCATATGTGGCATAAAAGTAAACAACCGGAAGCTATAAATTGTAAACAAGTGTGCATTGTAAATAAATGAGTTCATAAGCTGAGATTTTTAAAACTTCATTTTTCGAGAAAATAATGACTCCATCTGTTGAAATTCTAAAAGTAGGATACTCCATTTTAAATGAAGAAGCCAAATTCATGAAAGCTAATTGCACATGTACTTTGGTGAGAGATAACAACAAAATAATGTTGGTTGATACATTAACTGCTTGGGATGGAATTTTTTTACTAAAAGGTATTATTTTTATGTAAATCAAAAAATCACCCAATTGTAGAATTGGAAATATATATAAATTGTACAAATAAAAAATTTTTAAGTGTGGAAAGTCAATTAGATTTTCTCTTGGAAATTCATTATATAACATGCATTAATGCAACCAAGAAAATAGTTACATTTAGTTGTATTGAAATTATTTCAAATTGTATTAAAGACGCCTCTTGTCATATTGAATCAGTCAATAGACGTACAAGATTGTTATGATAACTTAGTTTATGTTTTTTGAAGTTCTTTAGCCACAAGGAAAAATGACCACAATTTTAGTACCTTAAAATCGAAGAATATTGAAATTATTATGTATAGAATTAGGGATTTATTATAGAAATATTTGGGCTTAAAAACCAACAAACAGGTTAAATAGCTGAAATATGGAGTTTTGTTTGGGGAAGATTTTTCCATTTTAAAAATTCAAGTCAATTAATAATTTTCAATTTTGACGAATTTTTTATGAGCCTAGAAGCAATAAATAATTTTTAATTTTGAAGTATTTTCGATGAGTCTAGACTAAAATGACCTTAATAAAAACAGCTATTTATAGTTTCACTTTTATTACCTTATTTAGAGGTAATCATGCAAACTAAAATAATTCTTGTCAATGGAAAACATTAATCTTCAGTTTTATTTATTTTCAAATCATCCCCATTACTTACTTTTAATGACAATGAACTATTGTTTAGGTGTCACAGTATGGAGGGAATCATTCAATTTTAAATTAAAAAGAATTCATAGAAAAATGCTGATTGTCATAAAGTATAACATTTTTCTGTTACTGTGTTGTACCACATACCGTAACAATTTTAAAAAAAATTTAAATGATTGCAGTCTTTATGTTTTTGTGAGACGCATGCACATTTACTGAATACACATTACTATAAATATGCACATTTACTGAAATTGCTAATTAAAACTCCTTGTTTCTTGTAGTTACTTAGAATAAATTATGCATACATTTATATTATATGTATTCATGAGCTTTCCTAGTGAAAGCTATAAGTTTTTCTAATTCTTTTTTTTATTTATTAATTTTTTGCATGCCGAAATTTGGCTACTATTTTGGTGCTATCACTAATATGAAAATCTTCTCTGTATATGAATTAATAATATGAATAAATTATTTCGTTTTTGAGTTTAATATCTTGCCTTGGAAAAATCATGGACTTTTTTCTCACACATTTTCCCAGTGACCAAACTCACACAATACGATGCATTTTTAGATTAAACATATAATTTGGGTTGGGTTAAACATGATCATTAATTAAAAACATGATCATGATAATAATTTTCCATTAACAATATTTACCTTCAAAATAATTCTTACATGTATGGTAATTATTTAATTTACTGTACTTATCAAAATAATTATTCAAATAAATTTTCTTTCCATTCTAACAAAGTTTATTATGATTTACATTAGTAAAAATTTTAATACATGTTTTAATTCTGGAGACTTGTTTCCCATAGGTTGAAATATAAGTGCAATATTTAGTGTAACTTGGTGTATTTATAATATAGATCTGATAGTGATAGCTTCCAATAATTAAAACCTGAAAGTCAGTCATACATTCATTAAAGTCTAACAGAATAAACTCGAAAGTTACAGTGATTGGAGTGTCTTTAACAGACAAAATTTAGAAACACACTCATCATTTAATTGTTTTTTTTAGTAAAAAGGCTTTCGACCTCTCTTGTCATTTTTCAAATGTAATTATAATTCTATTTTTCTCTTTGTAATATAAGTTATTATAAAGATGTAGAGATTATAGTTTTTTTTTTTAAAATTATTTTATCTAGATGATTTTTACAAAATATACTATAATTATTATTATTTAAACAGACTTCATTCATTTATATATACAGCTTTGGAGGAAAGAGGATTACAAGCGGATGACATCACGCATGTTGTTGGAACTCATGGACATTCTGATCATATTGGCAATTTAAATTTGTTTACTAAGGCTCTTCATATCGTTGGACAGTCTATATCCCATCAAGATGAATATTATTTGCATTCCTTTGAAGAGGTAAGCAACTTTAAAATATTTTTATAACTCTCACGCTATATTTAGTTTTATTGAGATTTTTAAATTTGATTTGTAGATTGGGACATTTTATTTTTGATAGAATGACGCCTATGTGATATCTGAAAACATCAAAATAATTGCAACTCCAGGTCACACATTATCAGATGTTAGTGTAATTGTTAATGGAACTTTGCTTGGTACAGTAGCTATTGTTGGTAAGTAATTTATTTTTAAATACAGTAAATTACACCTTTATTGTATTAACTGGGCAGCTGATAAGATATGTTACTAAGTTTTGTGCAATCTACTGCTGCTATCTGCAAAATTCTCCCTGCATTCAGAATTATAACTAAATATGGAAATTAAAACAAGCTGATAATCTGAGATTTGCCATAAAATTTCCTTTACTTTTGCTATAGTTGTAGCTGCAGATTTAGTAATGCAATGACTGGCTTACTTTTATTCTATTACCAAGGTTATTATTTAAATAGACAGAATAGATTGTATATAAACAAAATTTGATACTACGTATTGGCTTGGTAATGCATCAAGTTAACCCAAGTTTAATTTCATAACTTTACTCTTCATTAACTGTTCAATAATCAAATGTCATTAAAATATCTTTAACAAATAGGGTGCTATTTTTTAGACTTAAGAGGTTGGGCAGCTTCAAGAGCAGGGTCCAGTTCGCTGCCACTCATCAACCCCAATGATTGCTTCACAATAATTGATGTTTCTGGGCAGAAAACAATTTTTCTACTAAAGTTAAAATTATTCACTTAACATGTATGTACTAAAAAGAATTCTGTTTGCTTACACTTATGCCTCCACTTCCCACATCCAAATGCAGTGCAGAACCTCTTATCCGGAAATCAGAAAACCGGAAAACCAGATAACCGGAATGAAATTCGGAACCGGAAATTCATATTCTTCCATTAAAAAAAATTTTTTTTTCCTGCAAGATTTTGAGCCCATTTTGTTATTTAGAGCGTATGGCATATCGAGTTGACGAATGAACTGATTTAGAGGATGGATCAAAAGCCGTTTGTAGACGAATCTCACATAAGCACGAATAGCTTATATATGTTATTAATGTTAATAATAACATATACAAGCCTGTATATAATTTTTATTTCATAATTTCTTTCCTTTTTTAAACTTAAGTGTATTATTATTTATAATTTTTTATTATTTCTAAAACTATTTCAAAAAAAATTTTTAGTTTCGTTTTATAAACATTAAAAAAAACGGCATTTTGTAGCGATTCAGAAAACCGGAAAAGTCAGTTATCCGGAATCGCGATCGTTCCGGATAATCGGTTCTCTACTGTATATTTCTTTTTCTAAACATAGAAAGCTGTTTTTAGTTATGATATACTTAACTTAGACACTTTGAGTAAATCTATTTAAATTGCAATCTTGTCTAATTATGTTATAAAAATGAAGTGACTGTTTTTGTTTAATATTGCAATTGACATGTATTATATTGTTTTTCTTATAAATGATTATTTGATCTTAAATATTCTTTTTCTCAGGAGATTTATTCGAAAGGGAAGACGATATAAGAAATCCTGATTTGTGGCATAAAGTAGCTGGAAGTGAAGATCCAGACCTCCAATTTAAATATAGGACAATGATTTTAGATTTAGCAGATTATGTAGTTCCAGGACATGGCCCAGGATTTACAGTTACTAATGAACTCAAAGAATCACATAAAAAACCTGAGAAATAAATATTTTGGGATAATAAATACTATTTTATTTAGATAATAATGATGTACTTCAAAATTATTATTTTTTTTCAATTTATAATTTTAAAAAGAAAAAAAATTCGGTACGGAGGCAACCAAGTTTAAGATCAGCAATTTGACCAAATTCCGAGACAAAAAGCAACGAACTATTTTTAATTAAAAGTGTATCATAAAAGTTTTTTTAAAATTTATTTTTTGTTTATTTCCATTTAAGAAGTTCTGTTTCTGAAACATTTTTTTCAAAGTCAATTACAGTACACTCTCGATTATCCGTGCGCGGATTATCCGGTTTGCGGATTATCCGTGCTCATTCCGGAGTCACGAAAAATATAAAGAGAAACATTTTCAAAATTAAAAAACTTTGATTCATGAAGTTATAACACTACAAAATTTCTGGAAGCAATATTCGTTATTGGATTACAGTATATGGAATATCAACAGCATGGTCAAGGGTAAAATCGTCTATGTTATCACGATCTTGGAGAGAGATCATACCGCTTGATGAACAATCTTCTTCAGATGTTTAAGAGAAAAATATGATAACAGTATTTTCGAACAAGCAAAAGGAATCTAAGGTTTCGAAATTCTTGATGAAGAAAATTTAGAAGATTGGTTTCCAGTATTTGACAGATGAAGACATCGTTATGTTGTTAAATCAAATAGTGATGATAGTAACTGATGCAGAGGATGTAGTAAATGAGGGAAATACAATTTCTCATACTACTGCTCTGTGGAAACTTTATTAGATTATATGGGAGGATTTGATTATGGTGACATTACTGCGGTTCGTAAAATATGTGTATCGATAAATGGCGAAGACGCATTGCACATTTTTTTAAAAGGAAAATTCCTAGTTTGATGTTTTACAGCATGCAAATGTGAGTAATTTTTATATTTTTTGTAGTGATATTGATTTTTTCTTTAATACAAGGAGTTTTCGGATTATCCGTGTTTTTCGATTGTCCGTGCGACCTGTCCCGGTGATTAGCCCGGATAATCGGGAGTGCACTGTATTAAGAAATATATTTGTATAAGAGACAAAGAAACCATTTAAAAAAATATTGCATGAAATGAATCAGTTAAAAAAGCATGAGTCAAGAGATTTCAAGTTTTTATAGATTTTTATTAAAAAATTTTAATCCCCCCCCCCAAGGTTTTGAAACTACTTTTTAAACCTGAATTTTCCCTTTATCTGTAAATGTTGATCATTTTTTTCCCTTTGTCAAGATTCAATACATTAGCTAAATATACTGTTTATATAGTCAACTGTAAAGTTAATTAAAAAAAAATGATGCATGAACTTTCATTATGTGAGTAAATTTTTTAGTAGTTTGTTCAATTTTATGCGATCTGTAATCAAGAGAAATTGTGAGTAAATCTTTTGAATTTGATAAAAAGTTTTGCAAAATTTTAACAGAGTTTGACTTGCTAAAAAATATTTCAATACAATCAGAATTCTTTATAAAAAATATACCTTCAGTTTAATCTACAGTTACTAATCTAGGGAGTTATTAATCTACAGTTACTAATGTAGGGGATTATTAATCCACAGTTACTAATCTAGGAAATCTAGTAAGTTTTCTCTGGTTATTAAAAATGTATCAAAAAAGTAAAACTAGACAATGACCGTATGTTCTAAACTGCAGAAAATAATATAGGACTAGGACAAAAAATTATAACTAAAATAAAGGTTTATCTAAATAAAGATTAAAAACTAAAATAAAGATTAAAGACGTTTTTACAACTCAGAGCAATTTTTGAAACCTTGTTCTGTCACTATTTTAAAAAACAGCTGAATTCTAGATGATGAATTTTAATACAAAAATAGATTTGGAAAAAAACATCAGATAAGAAAATAAAATAAAGCACCGTTTGCATTTATATTACTACTTTTTTAAATCTTGTTTTTATTTTCAGTTTTTTCTTAAATTTAAAATTCAAATATTTCTAAAATTAATATAATAGTAAAATTAACAAATTAGTTAAAAATTAAGATACTTAAGTCTACACCAAAATTTAAGATAAAAGTTTAAAATACACAGCAAAAATATATAGATAAAATAGGTTAGATAAAGACTAGGCAGGTGTTCACTTTTACAGTTTGTAAACTTTGCTAGGCTGCCACTAAGTTAAAACTCGTTTTAGTTGCTTCAAATATGAAAAATAGTCTCCAATATAGTTTTTATTTACAAGAAATAGTTGCCAAAATAGTTTTCCCCCTTTAACATATTTTTACAGCGTTTATGCTTTAATAACATAACATACTCCAATGTTAAGTTCTTTAAGATAATTACATTATTTATATGCATATATTCAATTTTACACAGGAAAACTTAAGAGCATTCACGTTTTTTTAGTATATTTAACTATAAAAAATAACTTTACTGGAAAAGACTTAAGTAGTTATTTTTATAATTGATTACAGTCAACTCTAGAGAGATTGAAATTAAAGTTACAACAGAATATAAAAATTGATGGTTAATAAGAAACTCTGTCAAAAACTTTTTTCTTCTTCAAGATGAATTTCTATCTTTAAGAAAGAATAGGCCAGAAACATGCCTTATTTTTATTCTTTCTAATTTTTGAAATAAAAATAAATTTGAAATGAATGTTGAGCATAGATGACAGAAAAGGTAAAACACTTCGAAGAAAGGTAGATGAACAAATATTTATTGCTAAAGAAAAAGGATAGATTCATTTTGAATGATGAATATAAAAATTTCTGTTATGGGAAGAAATAAGTTTATTATAATTTTTAAGTCTACAAATTTACTTAAGAATCGAAGAACTTCCTACTAATAGAATTATATTTAGATAATTTAACGATGAATTAAATATTTGAACTTGCACAAAACCAGGTTCTTGTTAAACCTAATTGCAACCATAAGCATGTCCAGACATTTTTATAAAGGTGGGACACTAAAGTTATAAACGTTTTCACAACTCAGAAAGAAAAAAAAAAGAACAAGTGGGTCTAGAATTTTTTTTTTAGTACAGTAAAAATAAATACAGTAAATTTCCACATCAAAAGCATTTCAAGAACAGGCAACATTTAACAGCTAATTTTTTTTTTAGGAGTGTGCAGAGTTATGATTTTTATACATTTTAACTAATTTATTTCTGAAACATCCATTTTTTATATTATTCGATTACAAAAGGAAATATTCTACCTTGAGTATATAAATTGCTCTAATTATTATTTCATAGAAATTTTATGACACTTTCAAGACAATGAAAAAGATTAAATATATAAAAATTAAAAGTTTATTTTAAATTAGGACATATTTTGCTTGGGAAACACACTCTGCAACGATTTAACTTCTTTTGATTCAACTTCTGAATTAAAAACATCTGCAAACTTATGATTTACCTAAGAAAGAGTTGTGCTAATACATCGGCAAAAATGCCATTTGAAAAAGAAAGTAGAAACATGTTTTATACCTAGATATTAATGGAGCTATAATTACAACTGAAATAACAATTTTCTTTCTAATATAATCATAATAGTTTGCAACGAAACTAAGCATATATTTTCTCAAACTTTAAATTTTTTTTTAAAGAATTCATATAATTTTATTTTAATTATATCATGGCATGCTGCCTAAGAAACAAAATATTGCCCACAGTGTTCTTTATTTTTACAACTGTCTTTAGCCATAATTTAGATTAAATGTTTTTCTCTAATTTTTTTTTAATATGATAATTTAGAATTATTTTCAATTTTATAATTATATACAATGAGACCTTTAAATAGGACAATATTTCACTTTTAACAGAAATGCATAAAAAAAAGGGAGCTCTTAAGAAGTTTTTTTTTTCTTCCTTCATACATTAAAATATGAAACTTAAAATTAAGAAAAAAACAAAACCAGCACTTTAAAAGCCAAAATCTAGACTAGTATATTCAGAGATATGGGTGATCTCTTAAGATGGATATTACCAAAGTCCAAATTAGTAACCTACAGCCCCTCTGNAATAAAAAAAAAAAAAAAAAAAAAAAAAAAAAAAAAAAAAAAAAAAAAAAAAAAGCAAAGATGATAGTCTTTATAGCGTGGGAATGAAAAACTAAAAAACAGGAACTCTCATTTTTGTAGCTAAATAAAAGTAGTTTTTGTCAAAAACAGTTGCCAGTAGTAGCCCTTAACTGAGGAACAATTTTAGAAAAGGGGAAAAAATGGCTAAACAAGGTAACAGTTTTATTAGATTGAAAATTTGATAGAAATAATCATTTTCTGAAACTTTTAAAAGTTAAAATTACCCAGGAAGATACATGGTCAATATTTAGACTTAAGTAAAATGTGTTTTTTATCATTTAAATGTTAAAAGAAATACCTCTATATATTCATCATATATCCTTATTCATAACTAAAATAATAAAAATTAAGAAAAAAAAGTTGAGGATATTAAGCCTTTTTAAATATGCAAGAATTTTTTAAGTTTATAGTAATTACCCGGTTAAAATTCAATTATACTAGAATGGTAACTAGAGCACCTTAAACTGCAATTTATTTTTAAAATTGGGGCATTTGTTGAGAGAAGAGAAGAGGTATTTAAAAAGTAGTGTATAACCCTGGAACAAATGTAATTTTCATATTATCCAATTAACTTAGAAATAAAAGAAATGTGAAAAGTTCTTAATAATTTTATTTATTCAACCATGACAGCACATTTAATTACAAGTCTCAATTGAAATTCGAATAAAGCTAACTAACAGGATAATGATTATAGACAGTTGTGAGTTGAATCATTCATATAATACAAAGCATGTACTCCACATGAGGAACAAGGCATTTTCAAATATTTATTACACAAGTAAAACAGACACATAACACATCTTTTCTTCACATCATTCATAAATATATATCGATATAATAAATGATCACTTTTTAATTTGCTAATTCTGTAATATGATTGGGTTTTTCTCCTCTTTCATATCTGGCCCACATAGCATAAAATAGTCTTTCTAAGTTAGTTGCATAGGTTTTTACATTGAATAGAGGACTTTCTGTTCTTGCTGACCAAACTTTGGCTCTGATAGCTTTCAAGCTATAAGGAATTAAAATTGTCAATACACCATTTTGTCATGATCATACATATAATATACTATGAAGTACATTTCAAAATAAAAGAAAAAAAAATTACTTAAATGATTCAGATAATAAACTAATTTTAAAGTAACCCAACTTGGTCAAAGTTCGTTTCGGGAAGAAATTAAACCCTAAATAAATAAAGTGACACAAAATAAAATACTAAAAAAACAAGAAGTTAACCAGCTGATAAATTAAGACAGTAAAACTGACTCTATAATGGTTATGTAAGAAATCAGTCAGTAGATCAGCAGACATTATACTTAAATACTATTACATCCTTACAAGTTAAGGATGTGCAAGTAAGTCTGCAAATTATTTTTTCACGAAACTTTTCATTGGGGAAAATTTTAATTGATTTAATAAAGAATGACCATAAATTGTATTTTTTACTATACACTATTAGAAATAGTTTTTAAACTAATTTGTTAAGTTTTAAAACTTGTTATTTGAAGAATTGAAACTAATCGCTATACTGAACCACGAGCTATGTAAAATTTTTCTTGTTATAATTACATTCATGCAAGTGAATTCCATTGTTCTGTTTTAAAAAATTGTGATTTTTTTTTTTTTTTAAATTTGTTCTACTTTAACTAAAGCTTCTTTATTTTTATCTACGTTTTTATCTGTGTGGCAGAATTTTTTCAAGCTATCTGCAACAAAACTACTATCTTTCTGCAAAATACTTTTAATAATAACAAACATATATGTTACTAACTTAAAATAACAATGCTGTGTTTACAATTTTTTTTAATATTCTAATATTATGGGTGATATTCTCGCAGTTTATTGGGGGGGGGGATGCACTAATTATTTTCCTCTTAGTATTTTGTAAAAAATTATCACAATAAAAAAATAATTAAAAATCATGAAATCTGTGTAGTAGTAATTGCTGAAAAAAAGATCGATGATGAAATCAAGTGAATCGGACTCCTCAAAAAGGGGTTACTCTAATACATGTTTTGTTCGAGATTAGGTTGTTGCAATAACAGGGTTGCCACTCAAATCTGGAAAAAAAAATTCCCTGCGTTTTCCCTGTACATATTATGCACTATATATTAAGAGGAAACAACAATTACTGTGCTCTTTTGTGAGCTATATTGGGCTAACTATATTTATTAGTTTTAATTGCTGGAAAACAGCTGAATATACTTAAATAATGCTATAGTAAATGAAATAGTTTAGTATAGCTGAAATATCATGGTTGAATATCCCATAAATTACACTTTAAGTGGTCACCATTTTTTAAAAGACAAAAATAAGAAACAAAATTCCCTGTATTTTCCCAGTTTGTAAAAAAAAAAATCAAAATTCCCTGCATTTTCCCTGTTATTTTAGGTGATTTTTAAATTCCCTGTATTTTCCAGGTTTTCTCTGTTCTCCCTGTGGAGTGGCAACCCTGAATAAATATAAAAAAAAAATAAAATAACAAAAAATAAAATAAAAAGATTTAAAAATTAAGGTGAAATAGCAATAACTGCCAAAAATTCGATAGAATTATTGCCTTAAAAAGTAAATACTCATATGCACGATTCAAATTTTCTAAATTTCATTTTAAAATCCATGTGAAAATCAATATCAATAATTGTTGAAAATACAATTGAAGTATTACATTGATTAAGATACTATCAGCATAAATTAAGCGTGTCAAAAAGTGATTAAATACACTAATAAAATATTATGTGTAAATTTCTGTAGAAAAGAGTAATTTTCTTTAACTTTTCAAAAGAAAGATCTTTCTGCAAGAACTCTAACGTTCTGGGACAGTGTCGCTGTGATTCTGCCACGTTTTTTTAAAACATTTTTTAAAAAGTGTTTCAAATGAACATAATTTTTTTATGGCCACTTTTCTCTAAAATTATGGCAATGTGAAAAAGTTAAATTAATATTTTTAACGTTAAATCTTTCATTTAAAAATCAAGAACGTTTTTGATTTGGTCACAAATAAGCCCTTTCTTTTTCAAAAAACTTATGCTTTTATGCATCGCCATACTAGGCCAAACAGCCCAATGTCTTCCTCTGAAGATTTCGCTTTAAAGACTTCCTATTTATCTTTGATCTCCAATTCTTTTAATTAATTGCAAGAAAATCTGACTCCACTGAGTAAGCCCATCTCAACCGAGGCCATACTTGCCTTCTTGTTCCAGTGGGTCTAAAAAGCAATATCTTTTTGTCTTAAATATTTCTCATTATCTTTTTTATAAACATTTCCAGGGTGCGTAGCGTTTGTAAAAAGTACTTAAAGGTGTTTTTTTGGGGATTTCGTTTTTAAAAGCTTTTAAAGGTGCATTTTTCAGCTGGCGTTTTTAAAAAGTGCTTTTTTTTTCTCGAATAAATTCCCCCCCCCTTCAGTGATATCTGGTGGATCCCAGGCATTTCACGAAAAATGGGGTGTTTGCTACGTAATCATTCACGCGTACTTCATGTCGTACCCACGTTATGACTTGCGCATGCACACACACTTGAAACCGAAACCCGAGTGCTCCAATTCGGATGGAGAATATCAGATCCTTATGAAATGTTTTTCTTTTTAATTTATTTTAATTTTATTATTGTTTATTTTATTTTACTTCTAACACTTTTTTGACGTAGGGGGTACTGGCACTTTTGTTCTGAGTTCAGGGGCAAGTTGAATTCACTCGATGATGTGGGAAAATAATGATTGCTTCGATTTACGCCTGTTTCTTTTTGGGGGTTTTTTTAACGCTAAAACTGTTTATAAAAAGTTTTTGTTTTTCAATGATATCACTGATTGAATATTAATTTTTTGAGTGCTTATTTTTGATTCAAAGATTTGGCTAAGCACCCTGATTTCTACTAAAGTTTTTTCCTTTTACCCTGTACCAATAATACAATCATTTTTCAATAATGACTAAACTTATTCATATGAAAATAATAATTTTATGATTTTTTTTTTTTAATAGTATATTCAAAAACATTTTTAAAAGTAAACTAAAATTATTTTTAAAAAAATAAGCTTATGACAAAATCTATCTATATATATTAGAAACTGCTTCATGTATGTTAAAAAAGGACTTACTAATCTTTATCAGTTCCTAGTCGAACTGCAATATCTTCATATTCCTGGCGAGAGTGGGCAATAAGCTCAGGTACACCTAAGCATGTAAGTTGAGAGGATGCAACCCTGGAAGCAAGAGTTTCACCGGCAAGTGTAACCATGGGAGTACCAGCCCACAGAACATCCATACCAGTTGTATGTCCATTACACAAAGGAGTGTCTAAACAAAGATCTGCAAGCTGCCCACGACGGACATGCTCTTCTTTTGCAGCCACATTTGAGAATATAATTTTATTTTGGGGCAAACCAAGCTGTGTAGCAGAAGCAATAATATTTTGCTCACCAACTGCAGGAAATCTTAAGAGCCACAGCACACTATTAGGCACTCTCTTCAATATCTAAAATGGAAATAAATAAATTTTAATAAAGTATGCTAATATTATGGATTTATAATATAATGGACTTTTTTGAAACTGTTATAAGAGAAAAAAATATTAGGCTCAATTTAAAACCCAATTACTTTAACACTTTAATTAATGGATCATGGAATGATATAGTTAATATATTCATAAAAAAATGCCCTTTTAAATTAAATTTTGATTTTTAAGAAATAATGGTTAATCCCCATAAACTAATAAAATATTCATAAATAGGAACTATATATAGTATATTACTAATTTGGGACTTAAAAAAAATTTCTATATTTTTTTCCAAAAAATTTACTCAGTTTACATCACTGCTACCTTAAAATGCTTAGGTAATAAAAATAGTAAACTAGTAAATAAAATAAAAAATATTTTTAATAAATCATTAAAACTACACTTTCAAAAAAAATCTTTAAAGGTCAAAATTATAACATATTACAGGGATATTTTAGCAACTTTTATGTGTAAAATTTTCTTCACACCTGTACTAAGAATTGGTCCCCAATCTAGGGTTTCTTGATGCTAGTCTTTTGAAAATAATTCGTTAGTAAGTTATTTTTAGGAATAATTTAATTACAATTTTTATAAGTAGATATATATTCATCTAAAAAATTTACAAAAAATTTTTCAACTTAAAAGTGATTTAAGATTCAAAACTATAAAGGAACCTGATTATTTTAGATTGATATTATTATTGATATATCTGTATTAGTCCTAGCAGGGAAGTTAGGTTTTTGAGAGCATATATTTAGGCACAATATTTTTAAACCATTACTTACATTCACCCATACTTGTAAAGTAGCTGGGTCAATTTTATAAAGTTGATTAAAATTACAGTATACTATTGCATCTTCAGGTAGACCATACTGTTGTCGTGAGGTTACTAAAATGCTCTTGGGTGCTTCTTCACCAGTTGCAGCTTTGTTATTGATCTAAAATGAAAAATATTTGGTTAATTTAAATGTTATTGTTTTAATGAATTGGTATAAATTCCATAGCTAGCGATGGTCATTTAAATTAGAAACAAAATTTTTTAAAAACGCATTTTAAATGACTTAGGAGACTTTCCTTACGAATTCAAATTTTTTATGAGAATAGGCAATTAAAAAAAGTATATAATAATGGGTATTTCAAAAGCAACACTCAAGTGAAGAGTAAATGAAAGAAGAAAAAAATATCCTTTGCACAATTTCTGTAGGTAACTAAATATAAATGAAATCCATACTAAATTTATATTTATAAAAAATAGTAACGGTATTTGAAGAAAACGTAAGTGATAATTTTCATTCATATATAAATAATAACTCCTTAGAAAATTAAAACTTTTTTAATGTTATTTTAAATATGACAAAAATAAAAAGTTGCTACCAATTTTTGAAACGGATATTGATGTTATTTGCTTTGATTTAATTAAACTAGAATTAAAATGATTAAGATGTCCTTTTTTTTTTATTTATTCTATAAGTGTATTCAACATTCATTATGCAAAATAAATCATAAAGGAATAATCAAGTCACATAAAATTTACATAATAGGTATTCATTTCATGATTAAACATCTTTATTTAAATATTGATGTCAGATGAATTATTTTTCTCAGAAAAGAAAAATGGTTGAATAACTAGCCCATATCTACCTTCAGGAGGAACAAAATATGACTACCACTGTTTATTTACAGTTGTAACATATATATAGCACTGAATTTTTTTTTATCCAAAAAAAAAATTCAATAGTTATGGACTAGGACTTTCTGTTAAAAAAAGAAAAATCAAGCAAACTGGTTTTATTATCAGTATTTTCATTTTTTGGGGGGATGAAAACAGCATTGAATTTATATTATGAAAATTTTGATCCTTATTTTTATTATTAGACAGAAAACTTTCTTTTTTTAAATGTGTATTTTATGGATAAAGTTACCTGATTGGTAGCAAGACCATTTTGAACAACAATGCCATTCACAGAAGTTTGAACTTGGCCAGTGCTAATCATGTTCTGAACTGGTATGGTAGGTAATTCAATAACTGTTTTCACAACTTCAAACTTTTCTATCTTTGCTTCCTCTTTTTCAGATGCCATGGTGGTGGTAACAGCAACTTCCCGAATTTTCTAAAATGATTTACAGATATAAACTAACAGAGCCATAAAAATATGTTCACATGAATCGATAAGATGAAACATCCCAAATGAATCGAGTATTACATTCATTACGTAATAAAAAATACCCAAATTAAGAAACACATAAATCAGTTAAATTGATAATTAAAATTTAAAAATTAGCAATTTTCAATTATTGAAATGCTTGGCAAGATACTTAAAGAACGCAAGTTATAAAGTAACTTAATGTTTTAAAAAAATTTAGAACATAGCTTTTACCCAAAGTTTTTATTCCAATTCCTTCCTTTCTTGGAAAATCAAATTCTTTCTGATATTCTAATATATTGTTAATTTTTAAATAGATTTACTCGGATGGAAAATTAAAAATAACATTTTACGTAAATCAAGTAATTTTCTTTTGTTGAAGGCAACTGTTCCTCATTTTTAAAGTAAATTACCCATTAACAAATTTATAAAAATTATTTCAAAAAAAAAAAAAAATGAAAAATTTCAGTAGAGTTTAATGATCCAAGAAATGAATTGATATATAGGTCTTTTTTCTTAAAAAATTCAAAAACAACATTTTAAAATTGAAAGTGAATCTGAATAAGCAATTCTTGACTTGCAGAAACACTTGCCCAAAAAACTTATCAACTGTAATGAATTAAAAACAAATCAGTTCAACCTTATACCTTCTTTGATGTTTCGATAGGCTTTAAAATTTTGCTTATATAAGATGTTTTAAAAGAATTTAAGTTAAACTTACTTTTACTTCAGCCTTCTCAATGATTGGGGAGAGGTCGGTTGCATTGACAATGCTGACATTGTCAGGAACATCTTTATTTCCTGTTAAACTTTTATCATCAATGATAGCTCGTTCGATTAAATGAGGAAACATTTGCTTGTGGTCTCCAACAAAGAATGTATCAGGCATAAAAGATAATTTTTCAGAATATTGAAGAGCCAGACCAAGAGGTGATGTAATTTTGTCAGTGATAATGTAGTCCATAAATGGAGCTCCACTTGTTCCAGGATAACCAAGCCACATCACCTGTAAGAGGAAGAATATATTTAGAAAAAGTATTCAGAAAATATTTACTTGCCTTAAAATCAAATTAGTAACAAAGCTGCCTTGTATACATTGAACAAGGAAGAGATACTGAATATTAGTATATTAAATCTGAAAACAGCTTTTTAAACAATAAATTTGTAATTGTTAGACATGTTTGATATATTTGAAAAGCTTGGGTCCACATTTGAAATTGATCAGGGGAGCATTTTTGGTAAATACCATTATTTTTATGCGTCATGTATTCAATATTAAATTTTATGTTGTGTGATTGGATTGAATGTAGGGTTTAGTGGCGCAAGGTCCAGATGAGGACATGCTGCGCCAAACAATACGGTAAATTATGTTGCGTGAATCAATAAATGAGGGAATTAATAAATTTTGTGTGAACCAGGAAACAAAATGCAGAAACAGTTTGAAATATGAACGTTATCCCAAGATATGTTGCTTTAGCTGCATTGTCAAGCCCTTTAGTAATAAAAAGCTAGCTATTGTTAACTTACGTAATACAGTATCATATTACTTGTATTTTGTTAAACTGTTTCTATGTTTCAAAAAGGATGACAATTTTCTTTCAACTTGTCAGCTGTAAGAACATCCACTTACAAAACCGTGTACTGGATGAATATAGCATAATTTAAATTTTTGAAAAAAAGTATCATTAATAAAAAAAAAAAAAAAAAAAACTTAATTACAAAAAAACAAAAGCAGTACATATTTACATTAACATTTTTCTCGAATTGTACAAAATTTTTGACTTCTACTTGTTCCATCCCCACTGTAACATTTCACTCAAGCTTCATGAATTATGGCTATTTTAATATTACTATTTAAATATTTAATATAAATATTTAAAATTTAAAAAAAAGTGTAGGTCAATATTCTTACTATTATAAATTTGCATATTTCTTTCCTTAATCACCTATTCAATTATTTCTGAACTTTTTTTTGTTTTGCTCCATGATGAAAAAAAAAAAAATTTTTTTTTAAAGTACCTGAATTGGAGCCGGTCTTAAGGCAAATATTTCATTTCTTGCTCCTTTTGTATAACCATTCATATTAACCAAAATATGTATACCATCATTAAAAATGTGATCTGCAGCTTTGCCATTACAAGGAATCTGTAAAAAAATATTTATTTAACATCACACGTGCATGCTATCAAATTCTGACAAAATATTTATATTAGCTAATATTTCTGATAAAAAAAATTACAAAATCACCTGCGATAAATCAATGAAATGATGAGCTTCTTGAGCAATTTTAGAACGGAATGTTGTTCCATCATCTGGGCTCAAAGCATAGCAATATATCTAAATAATAAAAACAAACACAAGTTAGACATTGCTATACTACTGTCTGCGTATGTTCTTTTAAAGTTATTAAAATTAAGCACATATATATGGTACATAATTATGAACTAATCTTTAATGTATAAACAGTGATAATCCTCCTTTGAAAACCCGGTATTGTCTGCCAAAAATTATAATAAATTTTCTCAAAAATTCATTTTAACCCTCATTTCTAAGCTAGCATTGAATTTTGCTGATACTTATACTCCTTTATTTGTCACACTTAAACTTATTCATTTCACAAATAAATACATCTTTTCAATCTGTACCTAAAATTGGAAGCCAGTTATTGGGTAAAATATAATTTATTCCTAAAAGAAATGCAAACCTTTTTAAATGCATCAATACTTAACAATCTAAATAAAATAATCTAAAAAAATTATAAGTGCTGAAAGCTTATATTTTTATTTATTTGAATTTTTATTAATAATACCCTAAATTAATTATTTGCTAATTATGTCTCACTTATTAAACTTTTATTCTTCTTCTCAAATATGTTGCTTTTAAAAAATTAATAATAGCAGAGCTGTCAGCTTTCTACTCTTTTTGTGAAAATATCATCCAGTGGTAACACTTTATAACCCTTAAATTTTAATTCATTATTCAAAATCACAATTTGTTCACATCATAACCATAAGCAATGTCAATCATAAATTATTAAGCACTGGAGGCAGTAATACGATATTGCACACAACTTTAGTTATAAGCAAATGCTATTTCAAACTCTAATTATTTATAGAAAAATAAAATGCAACATTTCAATGTAAGATTTTTTGCATATGCTAAAACTTACCTCTACTTTATCTAGATTATGCATACCAGGTACACTCTGCATTAAGTGTGAAGTAGGATGATTGCCAAAATCAGAACTTACATAACCAACTTTTAAAATTTTTCCTTTCAGTTCTTTTGGATATTGGTATGGAGGTTTATGCAAAACTTGAATCTGGAAAGATAGAATGGAGGAAGAAATTAAAATTTAGAATGACATCACTACATATTAATTTTTTTTTTTGCAGAAATGAACAAGTGATACCTTTTCAAGGCACAGATTTGCATGTCTGGCAGCAATGGCTTTTCTAAACTCATGTGTTAAAGGATATAACATGCTATGATGAGGATGTACAGATGGCAATCTATTTTTTTCCAGTTGGTCAGCAACAATTGAAACTAATTTTTTCATGCGTGCTTCATAGTCAGTCCAGTCACAAACAATCTGGTAAATTGAACACAATTTTAGTTAAGAGAAAAAAATTAGTAATAGCTGCTTCACATAATAAAGAATACATCAAATTATTTATCTGATTTTTTTTTTTAAATTATTTGACAAGATGTTTTCTAACTTATTCTTTTCAAGTAAAATTTTGTCCAAATTTTTTAAGTATTTGCAGCTTTATACATAGTTTATTAGCAGTTTAAATGAAGCCTAGAGTTGTATAGAAACAATGGTATGCAAAAATATAGATTTGCTGAATCTTGCCAGATTTGATTTTACAACCATAAACATAATTAGATGGATCAAATATAAATGACACTTTTTTAATACTAGCAGACTGTTTTCTTTCTTATTGACATGGTAACAACAGAACTTTATCTAGAGCCTAAATAATTCTTTGGTTGTGCTCAATTCTTTGTAAGTTGTTAAATAATGAGTGAATGTAATGCCCTTAATGCTGCTGCACAACACATACTACAGTAGAGAACCAATTATCCGGGATGCTCGGGACCATCGCTATCCCGGATATCTGAATTTCCCGGTTTTCTGGATCGACCAAAAAGTGTCGTTAATCGATGTTTTATCGAACCCGAAGTACAAGGAAAAAGTGTAATGCATAAAGTAAGAGAAAAAAGAAAGGTACTCCTAACTTTAAAAAGAAAAAAAAATGGTAGAAATATAACATTTAAAAGAATAAAAAAATTTGCAAGTTTAGACAAGAAAATCAAGTTTAAAAAATACAAAATTCTCATATTTATTTTTTAAAAATAATTACAATTCCTAAATTAAATAATATAAACAAAACCAATGATTAAATAACGCAATATATTTCATACCTAATTATACGGGGGGAAACGATAAAATAAAAGGAAAACTTATTAATCTAAATAAAAACACTTGAAAATTATCGAACCGAAACGATAGTTAAAAAAGGCACTAGCATAAATATTAAAACCCGGAACAAGGCAAGATCAACGGAATTTAAAAAAAAAAAACCTAATGATAAAATTTATGAATAAAAAGAATTAATTTATTGAGTGCGAAATTTATCGCGAAAAGAAAAAAAATCAAACGTAGTGGAATCAGAAAAACAAAACTGCAATCTGCTTCATAAAATAATCCTATGTTTAAATTAATAAACAATTCTCCTTTCATTTTATTTTTTTTTTTTTTTGTTGATAAAAACAAGATTTTTAATTACAGCAGATGTGATTCCACACCAAGAAAAACTTGCAATTGATACCGCACTTCCAAAGAATGAGAATTTATTCAAAAGAAAAAGATTTTATTTTTATTAGTCGATGTCAAATAAATATATTTTTCTCTTTTCTTTTTCTGTTCACTGATATGCATGCAATGCATTTTCCCCACCCCCCTCGTAAATCAAGCAGAAAACGAAATCAGCATGCCACACCCTTGAGTTTGATTGACGGCCTAAAGGAAAAAATAAAACATTCCTCCCTTCCCTGCCTTCAAGGTCACGGAGGAAATGACATTTCTCTGGGTAAACGGGGGAAAAAAAATTTCCCCTTCCTTACATTTTCCTCTACTCAACTTCAAGGATGAGTCCAATTTCCGCTTTTTTCGTTCTAGTTTAAAATCGTTCTAGTTTAAAAATGGCGGGAAAATCGAGCAAAATTTTTCCCGGTTATCTGGATACCGGATAAATGGTTCTCTACAGTAATTAAATTTTTAACCAGAGAAAATGTCAAACCTATTGAAATTTAGTGCAGATTATGGCACAGTGCAGCAATGATACCCTGTTAGGACTTAGATTTGTAAATGGCAAAAGTTATTTAAAACAAGGATGAGAAGTTGAAAACTTGTCTAATGCTCTTCAACTAAGAACGAATCTTATGACAGACAAATGTGACAAAATTCGTGAACTTATTCATAATTACTTGCTAAGCAAAGTTCTAGAAACTAGGGCTATAACAATGATGAACTATGGAAGTATGGTAAGCATTATTCATGACAATTTAAAAAAGTCTCATTTGCTGGGATGCATACTTTAATACTAGTAGTTTTCATTAAGAAATACAAATGGTAACTTATTGAAAATAAGTTTTAGTTAACATTTATAATTCAATTACATTCCTTCATAGGAATATGATAATTTCATTTGTTAAGTTATGCAAAAGCGGATTTTTAATTTATTAATTCTTTCATATACAAGTAACATACTATTTCAGTTTTCAGTAACATTACTTGCTTTATCCTATGTTCAGCAAAGTATTACTTTAAACCATCTAATCAGCATTATGAATTAATAAATATCATAAATATGTCTTATAACCAAGTAATCTTTTAAAAAGATGACTTAATTTTGATCTTTAAGCACAATTAATAGACAATTTTAATCCTTTGTTGAATAATTACATTTTAATCATAAAATATGAATTTTTGATACACTATATCTTTAAATGGGAGATTTAAGTTCTTTTAAATTGGAACCTGTTTGCAGTTAAAAAGGATCCGGAAATTAGGATTTCCTATGAAACTGTAATTTTTAATGTTTAGCACAATTACTGTTGAATAGATATAATTTATTTGCATACAATGTAACACAATCTATTTTAAAGAGAAAAAAAATTTAAAAATTATTTAAAGATTTTGATCAACAAGTGTAAACAATAAAATCTGAGCAAGGAATAAATTAGCTTACTTGCAAACAGTGAGCAAGGTTACAATAAGCGTCAGGGAAATCAGGTTTTAACTTCAGTGCAGTTCTATAGGATTGTATAGCTTCAGGAATGTTGCCAGAATCCTGAAATATTAAGAATATATAGATTTACCTAGCTAACATTCTGATTTCCTAATTAGATAAAATTATTTTCAGCCTTTAAGCTTAAAAATAGCAACAGCTTATTTCAATTCAAAAATATACCACTTATTTCATTAAACATATTAGAACAATACATAACAAACAAAAAATTCGTTGAACAGTCTAAGCACAGATTAATTTAGAAATACAATATATTGTTATATAAAAATATAGTGATTAGTGAACATGTTTGAAAAAATTAACATATTGGACTTGATTTTAAGTGAAATAAAAACACATCATTGAATTTCAAAATAATATATTTAAGGAGCATAAATAATACTTAAAACAATCAGATACAGAGTTAGTGGACAAATTATCAAACAAAGAAAGTCAGAACAAAATATCAAATCACAGCCAAATATTTCCTCTATACCTATTATTGAAAAAAAATGTCAGATTTTACAAAGGTAGAAAATCTTTGAAAAGTAACCCTGCGTCTTTCTTAAAATTGAAACATTACAGTTGAAACATTACAGTTTTTAAAATTATATAAGTTTCAATATTACATGATAAAAAAGCTTAATATTACTGATATAAACAGCAAACGCAAACAAAAAACTAGAAAGAAAGAAATTACACAGATAAAAAATTTTTTATCTTGGAAATTAATCTAATCTTAAGTTTAATGGAGATGACAAGGGGGGGGGAGACTAAAAAGAGGGGAAATTATTTTGTAAAAAGACATTTAAAAACATTAAATAAAACAAGCAAATTTTTGCACGATTTTGTAAAATAAATGATACTTTCTTTGTCACCTTTTAAATTTAAATAAAAGCAATAACACATTGAAATTTTTAGTTGTGAAGAATTTTTGCTTTGAATGAGAATTGATTTCTAATTTATGTTATATCAAGTGCGGAATCAATGTGAACACAAAATAAACTTGCATAGGTTTTTGGAACTTTATCTCCAAACATAAGTTTATAAACGAGATTTGCCTTCCACGGAGAAAAATATTGCTTTAACTAATCACAATTGGAACAAAGTTTTGCTTCTTCTACCATTATAAACATGTTTCTAAGCAACCGTGATTTTAACGAATGGATCAAGCAGAATTCGGTCTTCAACCCCTTTCTTGTAGTTGTTGGGCTATATAAAACATATTCAATAAAATTTCCAATTTACTTACTTTATGAATTGATGCTAAGTTACTGTGTGCATCTGCAAAAGCTGGATTTATCTGAATAGCTCGTGAATAACACTGCAAAGCTCCTTGAATGTCACCCATTTCTTTCAGAGTGTTACCCATGTTTGAGTAAGCATCAGCAAAAGTTGGAGAAATCCTGACATAAAAATATATGAGGTTATTTGAATGCCCCTTTTAATTATCAGTTACAACATAGTTTTTAAAAATAATTTACATAAAAGAAAACAATTTCAAACTTAAACTACATAGGATTAATTTAGCTCTCAAAAATTATTATAATAGGAAATGCAAAATGGTGAATTGAAATGTATGGTACTGATAAATTAAACTAGCAAGATTAATAATTTAGCGCAAAAAGTTTTTAGTATTCAATATTAATTTCCAGGGGGTTGATTATGAAAATTTAGTGACTGGACAAATAAATAAGTAACAAAGATATTACTAGTAAATGTAAAAAAAATAAATAAATTTAAAAAAAAATTAAAAAAGTGAATTGAAAAAAATTTGAATACAGAGAATATGTATTAAGTCAAATGTAAGTGGTTTTAGAATGGCTCTCACATTCATTTTGAGCCTGAATTTTTTATACTAAAACTAATAGCATTTTTTAAAACAAATTATTTTTGATTTTAAATAATCTTGTGTGATAAATGTTTTATTTCAGTCTAATTTGTTGTTTTAACAATGCATATCTCTTATAAATATTTATCTATACTTTCAAAATTTTGATAACCTTTTCAAGTAGCCAATTTTAATATTATTAACCAATTACAACCAATTAAAAAAGCTTTCTACACTTGAGAAAATAACTTACAAAAATATAATCCTAAAATTGAAAAATAAATTTAATGCATTTACAGCTAAGAAAAATAGTAAAAAAAAAACAAGAAGGTAATACCAAAATCACTCTTATTCAAGGGTATGCCGATGAACAACAGAAAAATCATTACCTAATTGCTTCTTTGTAATGCATAAGGGCTTCATTTAATTTTCCTTGTTGCTGAAGAACACTAGCCAAATTTGAATGAGCAGCTGCAAACTCTGGAAATACCTAAAAAAACAACAAGTATTTTTAAAAATTCAATTCAGGCTAAATATGCATATAAGTAATTATACAACATCATATATATTTTACCTCTAATGCTTTCAGGTACAATCGTGTAGCCTCCTCAATGAAACCTTGCTCACGTTTGATGTTTGCCAAGTTGTTTAGGGAATCTGCATGAGTAGGACACAGCCTTAGTGCAGTGTTGTAACAGTCTTCTGCTTCAGAAACTAGGCCTTTCTCTTTTAAAGCATTAGCCAAATTACAGTAAGCATCAGGGAAATTAGGCTGCAACTCAATAGCCCGTCGATAAGTATCTATTGCTAAGTCGATTAAGCTAAAACATAAAATGTATAGACATAATTATCAGGATTCGTTAATATATATCAATGGATATATATCATGATATCTGATATTTATTTTGAAATAAATATCATGATATTTTTGATACTTTCAGCGAAGTTTCTAAAATATCCCCCACGTTATTTCAAGATTTCTTTTAATCACTACACAAACTCATGCTACCATTCACACCATCTTTACTTCCTACAAAAATCTTGCACCTGCTCCCACTTACCCCCTTCCTACCTAGAAAAATGCTAGTAACATGAAAATATGAGAGAAGAACTAGATAAAACTGAGAATTATGATAGTATATATTATGGTTGTTCCGCTCATATCTTAAATCTTTTAGCCAAAGATATAAATTTTCCTGATGTTACGAAAATTTTTATTAAAGTGATAAAATATTTTAAGTACTCTCATTTGCCAAATGCTTGGTATCGAAAAATTGGAGGGAAAATGCTAGTTGTTCCTCAGGCAGTCAGGTGGAACACGATGTTCGATTCTTTAAAGACCTTTTTAGAAAACAGAGGAAAATTGGTGCAAGTTTGCCAAGACAACAAACTTAAAATTGATAAAAACATCTTCAATTTAGTAAATGATGTAAATTTAATGGTAAATTGCTCTGATTATATAAGCATTTTAGAACCGATTGCAAATGCTTTAGATGCAGTTCAAGCAAATAAATGCATGATAGCACAATGTGTTGAAATTTGGTGCAAACTAAAGAAGAAATTAGAAGCATGTGGAAAAAAAAACGTGATGAAAGAGTTCTCAGAAAGAGAAGTAATGGCTTTAATCCCTGCTCATTTAGCTGCTAATATGTTGGACCACAGATATTGTGGAAAAAAACTAAATGACGAGCAAACGCAAAGAGCTCTTAATTTCCTACGCTCTGTTGACAAAGATATTTTACCTATGGCTATGAATTTTTTAGCCAAAAAGAGCCCTTTTCCAGGCTTCAGTTCGAAGATGACTTTCTCAACCCACAGTTTGGTGGGAAACTATTTAGTTAGAGGAACCATTAAAAGTCAGAATAACAAATCTCCTTGAACAACTATTAACTGCCTCTCCTTCTACAGCTGGGTTAGAGAATATATTTTTTAGCTTTGGATTTATTCAGTCCAAGTTGCGGAATAGATTAGGGACTGAAAAGGCAGAAAAACTTACTTTTATGTTCAAATATTTTAACAAGAAATAAAGAAAAAATGTGTTTTAAAAACTTAGAAAAAGTAAAATAAAAATGTCCTGTATTTTGGTGATTGCAAAAGATTTTGTTTCAGAGAACCTTCTTTATTTAAAAAAAAACTTATGTTTTATTTTATAAAAATTATAAATTTATTAATTACAATTAACATTAGGAATTTAGAATTTATATAAAATGAATTATTTTATGTTTTAAATTTGTATATAATGTCTGAAAAACAATTCCCAACAATAAAGTTAATTTATATTGAAGATACTAAATATAAAACAAAAATTTGAACACATATCAAAATATCGGATATATATCAAAATATCGGATATATATCAAAATATCGGATATCTTTGATATTTTCGAAAATATCATGATATTTACGATCCCTGATAATTATATCACAAATACAAAAAAGAATTAATTAGCTATTTTAACTATTCATACCCTTGTTCATAATAAACACAGGCTAAGTTTCCATGGACAACTGCATTACTAGGATTTAAATTCAGTGCTCTGAGGTAAGCTGCTACAGCTCTAAAAAAAGATAAAATTCAGATTTATTTTACTGAAAGAACTATAAGCATATTTAAACAACAAAATGAAATTTGAATACAAAGTTACCTACCTATCAAATATTCTTGCTTCTTTTAAAACATTTCCTAAATTAATGTAAGCATCTAAAAAGTTTGGATCCAACGCAACAGCCTGAAAAAAGGAGGGGGGGGGTTATAAGATTAAAATACATTTAACTCAACATAATTAAGCCATTGAGTCATTTGTTTTTACATTTGTGTCAGCTGGTCGAAAATATTTTTCATTGAATAAACAGACATAAAAAAGGTATGAAAACATGCAACTTAATAAGCAAAATTAAAGTCATGAAAGAAAATATCTGCGAATTCAGGCAGGAAAAATGTTAATTACACTTTAATAAAAATTTTAAAACATAAATATCATTTCCATGAAGTAATAGTACGAGACTGATAGAAAAAAAAAAAACACTTTTTGTTTTTATCAGTAAGCTATGTAGATAAAATTAAAATTTTTAGTATTTGCAAACATCCTAAAGTTATTTGCCACTTAAAATTTTCCAAAGCTACTAATCTTTACTTAGTCAGATAATACCTGATCTTGTTCCTCATTACCTTGGAATTCTTTACATTAATCCTTGAAAACTTATATTTTATGAATTTTAATTAGCTATATAAATAACTTTGTTTAATTAGCTAAATAAATTATAATTAACATTTATGATGGAAAGTTTCTGCCATTTTTGAAATAAGAGACAGTTACTTTCTGGCTCTCATAGCAAAGTTACTCGTATGTGATTCTCAGTGAGACTTTTTTTCTGTCGTCCAGACAGCAATTTCTAAGAAATTATAGATTAGTATTAAATAACATCTTTTAACTTTCCACCATTAATATTCCAGGATGACCTTAGTAGCCTAAAAAAATGACATATACTTTAGATATGAATCCATGATTGTTTTTCCCTAACAAAAATTTAAGTGAAAAGGGGACAATCTTAAACAAAACTCGCATTTATCCAGCTATATATTTAATTTAGAAAAAAAAAAAAAAAAACACTACGGCAAAAAAAAGTGTCTTTTTTATTAATCATTTCAGTTTTTTTTTAAACACAAGGTTTCCAAAGCTATTATTCAAGTTACGGCATTGCCATGCAAATTAAAATTTTTCAAGGCTCAATGTAATAAACAGAATATTATTACACATAAAGTTTAATTTGTTGTAACAAATACAGATAATAAGAAATTCTATATGTAGCTAAATTAAAATAAAATTACCTTCTCAAAATGATGAATAGCCAACCAAATTTCACCTTGAGCATTGAATACACATCCAAGATTACTCCAAGCAACAGCAAATGTAGGACAAGTTTCGATGGCTTTCAAATAACATGCCTTCATTTTCAATAAACAAAAAACAGTATTATTTAAAGTATTTGGCAGATCAAAATACTGATACTGCAGCCAGGACTCTGGAACCCTATCATATCGCAAGCGACCATCGCAGCGCTGTTTTCCAGACAGACTGAATAAAAGAATACTTTTTTTAAAGAATGGTGTAGAATTAATTATAAATTCATATTTAAACAAATGAGCCAAAAAGGATTATGAATTCACAGTTGAATAAATGAGCAAGAAGAAATTAGAATTTTTTGTTATGACCTAAGCTTCTCGAGCACATACCATCCAAATCCTGATATTTTCACTCTGTCTGAAACGCAAGGGGCAAAAGCAGACCTGAAATGACGCGCAAATAAAATGATCGCAGCAAAAAGAACAGCAAATGCGTACACGCGCAGACTGCCACAAAGACACTGGCTGCAGAAAGTCCCTTCAACATGCACATACGTGATGTTAGTACATATAAAACAGCCTCCTAAAATTTCATTTAAAATTACAATCACTTACTGAGAATTTTAACTAGTCCACTTTTTTCCTACATCTAACATCTGCATTCCAATACTAAAAGTAGGAGTGGAACTGTGGAGAAAATCAAAAGATTTGATTTTTATTTATCGAATTTTATTCTCTGATAGTTAATGAAATATCAATAATAATTAACTTTCAATATTCTCCACATAATTAAAACCCATCAGAGCAAACTAAACATTTTATTATTACCACAATTTTGGAGATGATGACTGCAGATTGAGCTTCAATCCAGACGGCCCAGTCCAAGCGACGTGCAGCATACTCTCGAGTATATCTGCCTTCTCACGAATATGAAAAGACCTACTATTAGTGCTATTTCTTAAGGAAGAAAAAAGAAAATTGAATGTTAGAACTGTCTTGATATCCATATCACAGAAAACAGCTGTAATCAGCCTTCCTTAAACAACAAAAGAGTTTTAATAGAATAAAAAAATAAAACTGAAAGTAAAACAGAATAGTAGTAAATTAAAAAATCAGAGTTAAAAAAAAAAGGTAAAAATAAGTATTAATACAAAAACTAGTTATAATTTTAAAAGGAAACATTAGTAGACAGCATGCAGAGAGGATTTAGAAATAAAGAAGTATTAAAAGTTTAAAAAAAAAAAAAGTTCAGAGAATTAAATCAGGAAGGCTGCTGAAAAATACTCACTTATAAATTTCTTTCACGAGTTATCAAAATGAAGCAAACAAATTACACAGGAATACTTTTTCATAGGCAACAGTTATAACTCATATATAAAAGGCCAAGCTTCTAAAATTCACACAAAAAAAAGCATGCAGTCAAACATCATGCAAATTGCGCTAAGAAAAAGCACTTTAAATTAGGAAATTTGGCAACTATATTACAAAATTACTCCCTTTGACATACATTAGATCAGTACGCCCTCCCCAATTCTAAAACAAATAATTGGTATTTGATTTCACGAAAAGGACATTTAGTAATACAGAATATTTTCCTAAAGAAAGTGCTTTTGCTTTTCCAGGAATGTAGGGAAGCGCTTTAGCAGGTGCGTCTCCTGAAATATAGTGAAAAGCAGAAATGCAGCATTAAAGTTTTCGCATTATCTTCAAAAAAGCGCTTTATATTGACAGTGCATCCAGCTAACCTCCTGTAACTAATATTTACTACATAATTAGAAGTCAGCTGTAAGTAGATATATTAATTTAACCGCAAGTAAGAAGCTTGGCCTTTACAAAAACATTTATAAGAAATAGTCGCTCTTTATTAAATACATTTAAAATGGATAGGAAGATGAGATCAGAAAAGACTGAAATAGTATAACTAGACTGATAAGAGAGAGAAAAAAAAATTCAATTCAAGTAAGAAGTAAAAGTTTTATAACTAAAATCTTAATAGCATACTATAATAGTGCTAACAATTCAGTTTAAGTAATAAGAAAAAAAATTTACTTTTTTGTGTTTATTTGAATTTCTAACTAATAAGAACAGGTCAGTTAAAAAAAATGCAACAGCTCTCTCTTTTTTTTTTTTTTTTTACCAGTTCAGAACTTTGCAAAGCTAGTAGAAATAGTAATAATATAATAATAATATAAAAAATAAGGAAAATGGTTCAAATCTTTAACACCTATTAAATTTAAAGTATTAAAAAATATATATAAATTGATAGTTTCAAAGTAATATAAAATTGGAAGATTTAAGCCTTTTGTTAAATTTTATTTTTTTATTTTGCATTTCACATAAAACCTGGTTCTAACATTTATAAACATTTTTTAAAAACGATAAAAATCAAAAGTAGTTTTTATAATAAATCTTTATGAAGTAAAAACTCAATATAATATAACTATATTTAATATTCCGTATCTGAAAAATTGATAAATAAGAAAAATACAAATTAATTTTAAATTAAACCAAAAAAATTCTGTATTAAAAAAAACACTTTCGAAACAATATAATATAAAAAATTTGTTAGAGCTGAGTCGAGAAAAGCTTATAGATGATATGGATTGGTAAATTCTTGTTACTTAAATAAGAATGTTTCCAGGTTCAACAAATTAAACTGTTTAAAATAAAACACCTAATGAATCTCTCCAGAAAGACAAAATAATAATTAGCACAATTACTTTTGAAAGTAGCAGAAATCAGTAACACAGAAATTAAAATTAAGAACACAGATATTACCTTTGAAACACAAGGAATATAAAATCAAGACAAAATAAGAGAAATAGATCTTTACATGCACAGACAGATCAACATCTTGAGATGATTGCAAACATTTCATTAAACAGTAACATTAGCTGAATATTCTTTGAAATAGTCCCTGAAATTAACTTTCGATGTATGATCTACTAGATGAAAAAATATGTTTGTGATAGAAATCATTAAATACTAGTTTGATTTGCCATTTCCGGTTGAATGTAAAAATGAAGTTAAACTTATTTATACTTTAAAGCTATTACAAGTTGCCTATGAAAACAAATTCGACATAACATAATTGACATGATTTTTATACCTTGGCCTCATCTAGTCTTCCTAATGCTTTCAATAGATTACCTAAATCACTCCTGACACAATACAGGTCCTAAAAAAATTAAATAAATATAAGAATGGAGATTTAAGTGAAATACATAATTTGGTAAAAATTATGTTAAATGCAAAAAGAAATTTAAATTATACAGTCAAACCCCGCTATAGTGAACGAATAGTTAGGTCCCATGCCTTGTTATACACGTATAATGTTATTTTTTGTGGATATAGTGAACCAAAAAAGTGAGGAAGTTGGATATAATGAACTTTTTTCTGTTTTCGGCTGATTTTTCTCTCTCATTTTTTCGTAATAATTTTGAAATTTCTACTTCGAAATAAATACATATACCGATTTTTAAAACCATCGATAGAGGTTAATGTAGCGATAAGCATTTTCTCTTGTTTGTTTCTTTTATCTCATTTTCCCATCCCTAAACAAACCAAGCAGATGTTTCCAACCCAGGCAGATGATGCACCTGTAAGGTGTCAGTGGGATCAATATGCATTTTCTGTCAAAGGGAATGAGTAATTATTCATTATTGGTCAAAGGGTTAGACACTAATATGTGTTGATAAGGCCCTCATTTCAACTCCTTTTTGCTCTTAGTTCAGTTAAAAAAATCCTGCAAACAAGTGTCTCAAATTTAACTTTGGCAAGCAGTAAACGTAAAACGTTTTCTATTGATGATAAAATGGACATAATCAGAAAAATTGAAAATGGATGCAATCAAGCTGATATTTGCAGGGAATATAAACCAACCAAACCTGCAGTTTGTAACATATGGAAAAATAGGGAATTAATAATTTCTGCTCATAAAAAAAATTTAGATAGCAGAAAAAAGTTGAGAAAAGCGGATCACAAGAATGTTGAAGAAGCATTACTGAAGTGATTCACCAATCGAAGAAGTCGCAACCTTCCAGTATCTAGACAAATGTCGATGAATTTGCTAAGAGATTTTATATTACTACTTTTATGTGCTCAGATGGAAGGTTAGACAGGCTTAAAAAACGGAATAACAGAAATTCAGAAAAAATTATCTGAGAGTCGGGAAGTATTTCCATATCTAAAGTTGAGGATTGCTCATCAGCTAAAGATTACTAATTTTTTTTTTTTTGTGTATGCAAGACGAAGAGTAATGAAAAATAACACATTTTTTGCTACTACATAATATTTTTCAGTGATTTATTTGAATTATGTTTAATAAAAAGGAGCAGTTTGGGAACCATTAGTTAAACTGCCTGCCTAACGGATATAGTGAACTCCCAGTTATAGTGAACCAAAATTTCGGTCCCTGGAAGGTTCACTATAGCGGGGTTTGACTGTATAACATAAAAATAAATTTTAAAAAAAGGAAAAAACACCTACATTCCTCGACAATTAAACAAGCCAAACTTATTATCTCTTGTTTTACAGCAAATGGTTTTAACTATTTGAAATGCGTTCCACTCACTCTAGTTAACAGAATACACCCACACATATTACTTTTCTAATTGTTACTTACAGGATTATATTGGAGTGCAGATACATATGCCTGTACCGCTTGTTCCATATCCCCAGCAGCAACAAGAGCTGCAGCCAAGTTGATGTAGCCATCAATGAAGTCAGGTTTCAGCCTTACAGCATGTCGGTAATTCTCCAAAGCTTCTTGCAATTGTCCTCTTTCCTTGTACACATTTCCAAGGTTTGAATATGCTTCTGCGAGCATGGGATTTTGTTTTATAGCTAATGTACTAAAGTGAGCAGACCTATATATAAACAAATAAAAGAAAATGTCTAACATTTACAACATAATAATAGGATACAGAAAAAAAATTTGCATGACACATAAGTACAAAAAAAAATAATAATAATAATTATATGAAACTGCTTTAACACTAACTTACTCAGAACTATTAAAATCCAAATAGTAAATTTTCATGAAAAATATAATCTAAAATTTATTTTTTATTATAAAATCAAAAAAAAAAAAAAATTTAAACTATTTTTACACAAATTGATTATACGTTCATAAAGATAACAAGAAATTATGTTTTTTAGGCAAAATCTGCAAATCTATCAGTACTTAATTTGAAAATATGAAATTTAACAGAAATAAATTATTATTAGCATATAAAAACTTTTTTTGAGAACTTTGCCTACTAAACAAAAATTAAATTAAAAATTTTAATTTCCAAAAAAAAATATATTATTTAAAATCATTTTGTCTATTTAGATAAATCAGTAAAAATAAATAACATTCATACTTGTCAAGTCTCCTGCATTGAAAGTGAATAGAGCTTAAGAGCAAAAGTACACCAGTGTTTGTTGGATCTTGCCGCCATAACTGCATACAATGGCGCTCAGCATTTTCATAATCACCAGCTTGATATTCTCGATGAGCAAGTTCTGCCAAACCTAAAAATGAAAAATCATTTCATCAAACACTAATACGGTTACTTAAATAATTTATTCACTAAAAAATAAACCATTTACACATTTACTTTATTTTTCATTTTTAGAAGAAAATATTCAAGATTTATACTGATTATTTATTATTCACTAATTAAAGTGTAAAAATACCAAAAAATGTTAACATTTGCACACACTTCAGGACAAACAACTTACGACCTGCAGGCCAATAATGTTTTATATTTAAATTATACCCAAGCAGCTAAAAACCATTTTTAGGAAGATTTCAGTATTGATATCTATGATGCCAAAACAAGTGCAACTAAAATATATCCTAGTAGAAAATCAACTCAAAGGGTACAACTTGTAATCACTTCTGGGCAAATCTCAAAAGAAATATATATATATATATATAATTTTTTTTTAAAATTTAACAGGGTTGCTACTCAAATCTGGAAAAAAAATTCCTGTGTTTTCCCTGTACATATTATGCACAATATATTAAAAGGAAACAACAATTACTGTGCTCTTGTGTGAGCTATATAGGGCAAACTATATTTATTAGTTTTAATTGCTGGAAAAACAGCTGAACATACTTAAATAATGCTACAGTAAATGAAATAGTTTAGTATAGCTGAAATATCATGGTTAAATATCCCATAGATTACACTTTGAGTAGTCACCATTTTTTAAAAGACAAAAATAAGAAACAAAATCCCCTGTATTTTCCCAGTTTGTAAAGAAAAAAATCAAATTTCCCTGCATTTTCCCTGTTATTTTAGATGATTTTAAAATTCCCTGCATTTTCCCTGTTATTTTAGATGATTTTTAAATTCCCTGTATTTTCCAGGTTTTCCCGGTGAAGTGGCTACCCTGTTTAAGTGTTGGTGATTGTAATCGAAACGAACAGACACAAAAATATTTCCTTTTAAGGGAAAAATAAATTACCAAAAATACAACAATAATCTAAAAAAATTAACAGAAACTTAATAAAATTTACAATTCCGTATCCCCCCCCCTTGCTTGCAAAGTTGTCTGCAAATTATATTATAGCTAATAAATTAGAAAAGCATTGAAATATTATTATTAGATTAATGTGATGGTACACTTTTCGTTTACTGAATAATTGTAAAAATTTGTAAAGATTTGATACCTCTAAACCACAATTTCTTGGTGGTAGTTGCTGTATCATCAGCATTGGAATCAATAATTTCAAAAAAAGATAAATGATTGAGTATTTCTTGTTTAATCAGATTATTTGATGCTACAGAATTACAATTTAGATCTAACTGAATCCTACACTTATCTCCAATAATTTGAGAAATAAGTTAAATGAGGTGTCAAAATCGGTTCAGTTAAATCAGCTGTTTAAAAACAAAACTTTAATTGGTGCAATTTCATGGTTCCTCGCATCCTCCAATAGTAATTAAAGAAAGATTCATGCACAGTAATCTCAGCAAATAATGACTTTTTTGCTGTTGCATTTTCTCGGTCATAATAAGTAATCAGTAAGTATTTAATTTTATCATTCTTTCTGTAACAATCTTTAAATTAGTTTCCTTCACAGATAGCAGTAATAATCTATTTCCAATTTTACTCTATCCTTGAAAATTTCAAAATAAAGAATTAGCCACTTAAGAAAATTCAATATCTTTCATTAAAAAAAAATAATTAAAAAAATGGCTATTACACATTGATCAAACCAAAAGGGATTGATATATTAGCTTCAAAGATAATAATTATGTTAAAAAAAAAAAAAACTTTTTTTTCAAAAATTGTGACACTTATTTCTAAATACTCAAATAGGAATGAATTGTTGTTTAAAATGAATAAATTTCAACTCAAACTAAGATAAACGCCACCTACTATGGTCATATAGTTATTGCTAATATCAGAGTTTTTAAGGAGAAACAAAAAAAAAACCAACGAATGCAGGTTTTTCCAAAGAGAAACTCAACTTTGCCTGGGGGAAAAGGGAGCTTATTCCCAATTACACTCAATTTCGCTTGGAAATAAGTGAAATCTTTTCAAGTACATTATAAACATACAAATTTACAAATATTAAACACATAAGATGTAATGTACACTGAAAAATAGTGCATGATTACTACCAAAGGGATGAATAAAAGACATAGTCATAAGAATAACTATTACAGTAATTTTCTGCATTCTAAATGTTTGATGAATCGCATAATGTTGATATTATAGAAATGATTTTTTGTAAAATGTAAAATATTATAGATTGCGTGATGAGTTTTAAATTATTAATTAACACATTTGCTTTAAAATTAATGAATAAAATTTCTAGAGGCATTGTATGCATTCATGAAAAGAAATTTACATATCTCTCAATAGAGCACGATATGTTCATTTGAATTTTCAATTTATCAATTTTTTATTAATCTTACAATGTGCAAAAATTCCTCAGCTTTTATATTTTTAGCTTTCGAAATGAAGATTTTGCTTATTTTATAAACATAACAGTCATATGACAAACTATGGGTTCAATACACTAAACTTTATTTTTATAAATTAATTTTTTTGTTGCTAAAGGTACAGTGGTCTATAATCGAAATCTTAAAATAAAATTTTGATCTAATATTTTAAAATAATCATTCGAAACAATAGGTTTTTAATTGAAAAATTTATTTCGGGATTCCTTTTCAAAAAATATTTATAATTGGATATTAGTGTGATCTGTAGCACCAACTACAACTGCCAAATGATTTTTAAACTTGAATTTTTTCTTTAAGTTGGATTTTTCCACGTTTTTTCTTCTTCTAGTTTATCGTAAGTTGCTGCCCAGAAGTTGTTAAGACTTGCTGGTCATGATACAAGTATATTGCCCCCTGAAGTATTTTAACAAACCCTGAAGGGTTTGTGGCATAACTACCACTATAAATATTGAATATCAATTCAATAAGACATGTTACATGTACATAAGACATGTTAACTGGATTCTAACCAGAGGTACCTTTTGATAGATGAAGGTTGACAGTCTAAAATTTGGTGACCTGTGGATGTGATAAGAACATGGCAATACTGATGGATGATCCACATTTAACAGTTGATATTAGGGGCCCCCATCAGGCGGGAAGGTGAGTGCACGACGCACCCACTTAAAGCTTGGGGGGAATTTTTACACTAAATAAAAGGAATAGTTTGGGGGGGAATTTAGAATTTGCCCAAGAGCTTGGGGGGGGGCACTAGTTGATATGCTTAAGAAATATACTGCTCAAAGAAAAAAAAAATCCAGTCATGTAAATAAAATCTCCCGGTCAATAAACAAAAATTAAGAAGAAAAAAAAATTAGCGAAATTCTATAAACAAAAAATGAAAGGTAAAAATGAATATATGAATGAGCAGAAATTGATATAAATAAATAAACAGCATGAATCAACTAGCGGAATCTGTTTATCGAATTCTATCCCAGATAAAATTCTGGAAGGGGAATAATGTGGCGCAACTACCGCTATAAATATTGAATATCAATTCACTAGTACATAAGACATGTTAACTTGATTATAACCAGAGGTACCTTTTGACAGATGAAGGTTGGCATAGTCGATAAATAAATCCCCACAGTCCAAATTGATTATGCAATAAGTGTAATGTGAATTCATATTACAAATAATTTATTTTATAGATGAGTAATGTAATTCAGCAATGCATTTTTTAATCTTGTACTCAATTTTTTGTATATATTTAGTTCATTTATTTAAAATTTTGTTAAAAAAAATCAGATTACTGAAATATGTTTTACTTTACATAATTTTGATAAAAGCTACAAAGTTAAATTTAAAAAACAAGTTAATAAGTAATAAGAGCAATTTGGATTGTTAATTGCAAAGAAAACTCATTAGAAATGATAAAATGTGAAAATAATCCCACTTGGTGGGTATAAAGATGGTTTCTTTAAGCAGGCCCAATTTTAAGAAACTAGCAGGGTTCTTTTGGACTGAGACCAACTTGATGAACACTGGGCCATTTAGTCTACAGATATCCTCCCTAAAAGCAATAGTTCTGTTCCCTCAATAACAAGAAAAAGATTCTATTTGAATAAAAAAATCCTAAGAAAACATATAAATAGTTACTTACTTTGCAAAGCAACAGCAGTGCTAATATTTAGGTCATTTGTCTTGCTCCTTTTATTGCCATTCACTCCTGTCAAATTACAAAAAAAAAAAAAAAAAAATTCATGTCTATTAAACTATTTTTTATTTTATGAATAAGGACATTTTTTTGTTTAACATAATGCATGGTCAAAATAAGCACTTTTTACAAATACCCAATACTAACAGCAACTTTGAGGGCTTTTAAAAAACAGAAATCAAAAATAAATAACAATAAGACAATTTTTTAAATCACTACACACCATGTAAAACCTTGCTCTAGAAAAATGTTGAAGTAATGTAATTTTATGAATTTAAAAACATAAATTCTTATTATTTGGTATATCATATTAGCAAATCGTATTTAAGAAATCACTAACAAGGGAAACTAGGGAAGTGTGACTCTCCAATTTTTAAATAAACTAGTGGTATGTATGCCTTATGAGGAATAATTTTAGGGGGCAACATTAGTTTCAGCCCATAGAAGGTTCTGTGAGAGATAAAAAATAATTAAATACAGTGAAACCTCCTGTTATGGACACTCCTGCAAAACGGACGCCTCTCAATACGGACATATTTTTAATTCCCCGGGAATCTTCTATGAATAAACCATTACGTACATTCTCCGCAAAGCGGACACTCCCGTAACCGGACGCGGACAGTCATTTTGATCCTGAAACGTTGTTTTTTATCTCTACAAACCGGACACTACTTTTTCTAAATAAATTGCAAGCTAAAAAAATTCAACTTTTCACCATTTTTAAAGCATGTAAATAAAACTTTTTGCCTTATCCATAACTAAAAATATTGTTAAGCTATTTCACCACCGAAAAATCAATCTTTCTCCTGTCACCTTGCCTTATCTTTGTAAAGAAAGGAGAGAAAATGGTACTGCACTCCTGAAATAATTCTGACATCGGCATCTTTTGATCTTTTCATCTGGACCACACAGGTTATGAGACCCCTCAAGTTGAAATGACTTCTCTCAATGCTTCTTCCCCATTGAAAATTTCTTTAATTTTCTTATCAATTTGAAGACTGTATTTAACACAACTGGGGTAAAAAAAAGAGAACAGAAGTATAATCTTTGAGGTGTTTATATAAATGAAACATTTATTCAGACACTTGATAGCTGATCAATTGTGAATAATCATCTCCATAGGTCCTCATGACTTACAGGTATGCATTACTTTTTTTTCTGTGAATCATGGGAGGTTTATTTTCCAAGAAGGTATTAACCATGTTCCCTATCAAATGATAAGTAGGTGTAAGGGGATGTGAACCTAATAATTGAAACGGACTGAGGACAGTACGCTCCTATTTGGTATCATATGTCTAACTTGAGTATCTATGCTAATAGGAAAATTATATTTATTTATCTGTAGCTACATCCAGAATTATGTATTTATATCAAACTTCTTTATATATTCTTTTTTATCTTTCTTATTGTTTAAATAAATATTCTTGTAGATATTTACAGTATCCTTGTAGATATTATTTAATTATTTCTACATCTTTGAGAATATTCTAAAAACAATTTACGGTGTTAAATTTCGTTATTAGGGTACCCTTCCCGTAAACGGACAACTCTCATAAAGGGACAAATTTTTTGGTCCCATGACTGTCCGCTTAACGGAGGTTTCACTGTATATAGAAAAATCGGTATTTTATTACTTCAATGCAGACTATTAGTTATAGTAATTGTCTCATACTCCAATTAATTTGTAATTAATTAGTTGGCAAACTAATAAATTAATTAGCAAATTAATTAATTATTAATTAATTGTTAATTAATTATTACTTAATTAATTGTTAATTAATTATTACTTAATTTATTTATTAGCAATTACAAACTCCAATTAATTTGAAAAATTTTTTGAAAAAAAATTTAAAAAATTTGATGCCAATATTTTTTTAAAATTAACCTAACTGGTTTTTCTGAAAAACAACAGATGTATAAAATTTTCGAAATAATTTTGACAATAAATATGCATTATATAGTACGTGAAAGTACCACAAAATTAATTGGAGCACGAGATAATTACAATAACTAATAGTCTGCATTGAAGTAATAAAATAGCGATTTTTCTATACATAGAATTATTTTTTATCTCTCACAGGACCTTCTATGGGCCGAAACTAATGTTGCCCCCTAAAATTATTCCTCATAAGGCATACATCCCACTAGTTTATTTCAAAATTGGCGAGTCACACTTCGTTAGTTTCCCTTGTAAGTTAAATGGAAAAAGGAGTTAGTGGAAATTTTATGAATATTGTTAAGTGTACTTAATTTTAATTTTTTCTTTAAATGATCATTATTTTTAATTAAAAGAGTTTTAGCATTAACCTCTTTATTATTTTTGGCCAATATTTTCCTCACAAATTTGTTAAAAACATTGAATTACTTTGTTTGAGCTTTATAACTCATGTTAAACAATTGATACCTAATTTACTTAATACAGCTCATATAATTATCAATATTTTTTTATTATGATTTATTTATGAATATTAAATTTTTTTTAATTTCATACATTTGATATACACTATGATTAATCATTTTTATTACAGTAAATCAATTATAGAACCATATTTTTATTGTTTGCTTCTCAAGTAGATTCCTATTGTCCTTAAATTTTAAATACTAAGATTAATGTCACATTTAAAGTATTTTGAATAAAACAAAAATGTAAATTTTTTTTTAAAGGAAGACACTATTGACTGAACTAAACCTTTTTATAAAATAAAACTTAAAGGACACAAAAAGCCTAAATAAATAATTATTATATTATTTGCATTTTAAAAATACAAAATTAAATCATTTCTTTTCAGCAAATTTTCACCTTTTAAATCTCAGAATTGATGGAGATTTTGAGTGATTTAAAATAAAAAATGAAGGTAAGCATTTTAAACTTTTGTAGCCGTCTTTTTCATCATTCAATGTATATTAAATGTTCTGAACAAAAAATATAGTTCCTTTAATTTACATTTAATATCTGGCATTCTATAAATCATCATGCAGTATTACTAATTCAAAATTTCAACTAAATTCCTTTACATTTTAAGTTATTTCATTCAATCATAAAAATTCTTAGAGATAAGTTTATAAAATATGATGTGCAAAACATGACTAAAGAAGAAAATGTGGAGATAAAGACACAATGTGGTTTTCAGAGAGCCACACATGGTGATAAACACCTTTTTAAATAAAATATTTCAAGACAGAAAATATTTTGATATTTATAATAATTATTGGAAGTATAATTTTTTAAAATTTATTTCAACTTCCCTACTTAGATATCTTAAAATAAAATAGAAATATTTGAAGTCATTATATATTCTAATCATTTTTTAAAACTAAATATATTTTTTGTGTAATACAAGAAAAAGTTCTTCATACTTTAACATGGTGTAAAAATTTAGATTATAGAATTGAGTTGCATCAAACAACACACTTAATGTGTACATCAATTGTTAAATAAAATATTTTAAACGCTGATTCATTCTGGTAACTCTCTAAATAAATTTAAATGATGAATAGTAAAATGAACCATAAAGTTGATCAACCGAGCAGTTTTCTTTCATATATAACCAGTCTGTCAAGTTATGTTGTGCAATGTACGCCTTAGGTAGAAATTCAATAAATATAAAATTTGTATTAATTCATTAAACATACCTGAAGATTCACTAACAATTGCAGCCATTTAAAGCTAGTCGTCAATAACAAAGATTAGATTAGTTTTATTTGAAATTTTAGAGAAAAGCGTCGCATCAATAATGGTTAGATCACAAAGGGGCAAAATTCAAGGTTGTTCTAGTTTGGGAAACTAATGTAAATTATAGTGAAATAACACAAAATCAAAACTTAAAATATTATTAAGAACTTTCAAAAGCACAAAAGTAATATCGTAATTTTATAAAAGGCTAATTATTGAAATTTAAAAGGTTAGATATCATAAACACAGCCAAGTCTCTATAGCGTATAAATTGATGACGTCATAGATGCGGAGATGCAGTGGATCGAGTTTCATAGTTATAAGGAGCCCGTAAGAGGAAGTGAAAGTCCTATCTTTCCGGTGGCAACGAAAAATGGGTCACCTTTTGCAATCATCGTGGCGACTTTCTCTATCCGTTAAATTGCCAATGTTCGTGTTCATATTTGTGATGGCCGATGGCTTGTTAAATTCACTTGCGGAAGTTTTACAGCATGGAACAGATATCTAATCTGTTGTGGTAAGTAAAAATTATCAATATGTTAATTTTTAATATTCATTTTATTTATTTTTAACTAATTAAATTTGAAAACATAGCATCAATGTTAATATATTACGTTCCATAAAACGTAAACATCATTCACGTGTTATTTTCCAATGAGAATGAATTTTATAATGCATTTATAACTCCATTCTACTGGAAAATTATCTTTATATGCTTAGCATTAATTGATTGAGTGATTATTGCTCAAAAAATTTGTTAAATAAGTTTTGAAGAGGAAGAATTCGATGACCTAAAAATGTTTTCATATTGGAATATTTATTCTAACGTAAATGCTTGATCATTAAGAATGTTTTAGTAAAATAAGCGGTAATATAGCGAAAATGAGCTTGCATAAATTTTAGGAAATTATGTAATCTGTTATTTATGTATAATAATAATAAATGAACTTATATAGAGATAAATGTTTGTATTTTGTGCTGTTTTGTCATTAAAATTTAGGAAGGATACTAAAATTTATTTTATGTATAGTTATATATATAATAAGGAATATTAAAATATGAAGGTTGCACTTTTTAGGATAGCTGTATTAAGAAAATGTAGTGGTTAAAACTATGAGTATTTTAGATCTACAATTCATCTTTATATATTTCTAAATTTCATAGTAAATATCACAGGAATTGTATGCCTTGCATTCGAAGTTGATAGATGAGATTAATATATTCAAAATAAATTTGTTAATTCTGCAAATGAGTAACAACATATTGGTAATTTTTGTCACTGTGAGAAATTTATCTCTTTTGACATTGTAATTTTTTAATAGTATTATTAATGTTACCTTTTTTTTCTCTAGTGGTCTTATTCATATATAGAAAGACCGGAAGGATGTCTGTGTACCACATACAGTTGACTGATTGTGGAGAAGATAAACTTGGTGAAACAATAGCTAGAGAACTGTCTATTTAGATAGTTAATTAAACTTTCTATATAGATGTTTTTAAAATGGTTTTCTTTTTATTGTTCTTTCCAAGTTCAGTATAACAACTAATGCATAGTTACAAACTTAACTAGATGTTAATTACATTCTAGGGTAAGTCATTCATTAACATTTTCAAGTACTTATAAGTTTAAGACTGTTCTAAAAAACTTATTGCTACATTAGCTATAGTATGTACCTCTTGCTGCAATTAATATTGCATTAATGACATCAATAAAAGTTAACTGACATCTTGGCAGACTCCCGAAACTGGTAAGTTTTATCAAAATGCATATGTAATCAGCTACTACCTGTAATGCATACATAATCAGCTGTACTTCTGAAATTTTAGAATAATTATATTGCCGATTATTTATAATTTGACCTTTATATGAATATATTTATAAGCATTTGGAGTTTTCATTATTTTCCCATTGTTAGTTGTGTGCATATCATGAAATGTAATCCAAAGTTCTGATTTTCGTAATTATACAAAATTTAATCGGCAGTGTGGGAGTAATGTTATGGTTCTAATTTATAAAAATTTAAGTATTGTTTTTGAAATTGTACATGATTAAATGATGAAGTCATTGATGATAATTTAAGATTGTGTTTCTGGTTCGTTTTCACTAAAGCTGGAAAGACAATTCTATTAAAATTGATTAAATAGTAACTTACAATTAATTCTATGATAAATTATAGTAAAATGTAGTTCATTAGTCAAATAAAGTTATTGTGGATTCTCCATGGCCATCGGGCTCCAGAACTTGTAAATCTTGTTATCAAGACCTTTGGAGGACTCTAATCTCTGCACTAGCACTGTTTGTATGCTTATTAATACATTTATTTGAGATTATGAATTTAGGTGAAGTGTATTTAAGTTGAAGTCTTATCAAAAGTGTGATGTCTTTCTGCTGAAATTTCAGAAAAATGGAGAACTGTGACAACTATTTTATTAAATAAAGTTTTAAATTGTTCATATAACCAACAGTAATTTTGACTTCCTTCATCTATTATTCGCGATCGCAACGAACTATAGGGGGCGTTGTTGTATGAGACTAATACCTGCGATTTCTATATGAACAGTCATTCAGTTACTCTAGAGACGTCCTTAATGTAGCACGTAGCATTGCAACGTTCCTTCTTTATTGTGGCTAATTAAATTTAAAAAAGAAAAATGCTTGATATTCTTTCTTATGCAAACGAAAACAAAATGGTATCTCTTTTTATTAGAGAAGGAATATCCAAAACACATCGGAAAAATATTTGTACATTAACAGAAAAAAATATGTATATTCTTATAAGAGTTAAAACCTAAT